TCGGCCCGTAAGGCATGGGCGGTGCAGCAGCTCTCATCAACCAGGCCCAAGGGGGCTTCTTGTTCCGGTCTGAAAGAGAGAACACCGGGCTCCTTCAAGTCTTCTTTTGGATCTCCGAAGCAGTTTCATTAAAGCTCACTGGATTGCAACTCTCAAAGGGAAATCCGGGCGAGCTGCTGCATTGATTCTGATACCGCCGGCTTTGCATCGAACCGGTCGCAAGTGAAGCACAGACGACACTGTTGCAAGTGGAAGATATGATTCATCAAATTGTCGTCAGACATCGGACAAAGCTGATCTTTGGTGTTGCTTACTGCAAGGAAGCACGCAAACTGCTAGACTTTGATGTTGCATTGGGGCGATGTTGAAACCCTGACGGCCATGGTGAACTTGTGCAAGCCAAACTCGCGATTGGGTTTGAGCTTGACGTAGACCTCTCGACCAATGGCTGCGCCATCTGCTCTTAGCACAACGCCAACCATCCGGTCCCCTAGCCTGGAGCACTGGAAAGCGCAGGCGCGAGAGCCGTCTTCCTTGGTGCGGGGTGTGATCACGGACGGCACCTTCGGGAGCTTCAGCGACTCCTTCCGGGCCTTGGTGGAGCTTAATGCCCGGGGCCCGAGGGTCACGTCTTTTCGCGTGGGACCTTTGGCTTTGGTGATGTCGAAGTTTCTGGGGAGGGAGGAGGTTCGCTTTTGGACAGATGTAGCAAGCTCCAGGAGGTTGACACAACGTGGACTCACTTTAGTGACCGAAGAAGGTGGCGCACCATGATGCCAGCATCCCAAAAGCCCAAAAGCGGCCAAAGCCGAGTTTTGACACCTCTTCACAGCATGTGTCCAGTGTGATCCGAACCCAGTCTGAGTTCGGGTGTTAGCGTCCTTCTCGGCTCTTGCCTCCCGCCCGATTCTCTTGTGGTTCTTTGAGCACGTTCAATGGAAGGGAAGGGGTGCCTGCTTATTCCGAAACCTTCTCAGATGGTTGCGGCAACGCGTTTGAGGCGTTGACATCCAACATTTTGATTCAGCCCTGTACCCAGCCGGCAGAGGGCAGCAGGTGGCCCAAGCAACGGGGAGTTGCAATCAGAGAGGTTCCGCCCACATCCACTGCCTGTCAAAAGGCCATGATGCTTGATCTAGCTTTAAACGAAGCTCCCCACACAGCGGACAGACGTCGCTGTCGATTCTTTCAGGGCTGGTGGATGCCCAGTCCGCTGCGCGGCGTCCTGCGCCTCGGCTGAAGGGCCCCTGAACTCTGAACTTCTCAGATTTGGCAATGTAAGGGGAACAGACAACAACTCAACGGTTTTTCGTCACAGGAACAAGCGCGGTGCAGCCCCCGAAAGGTTCTACACCAGCCTCAAGCTGGCCGGGCTGCTGGCCGGCTATGATCCTTGGTCCGTGCGACCTGCAGAGACTTGGGCCAATTTGCACAGGACGTGCTGAATGACCCATTTCGAGCTCATACGAAACAATAAAGGCATGGATACGTTTGTTTGAATCTCCGGACCTTTGCTATCTTTTGTGAGACAGGGATACCAGCTAGTGACTCGCCTCTGGACTACGGAACGCTACCGCCTGTAAGTGTTGCTCCATCGGGTTGAGAAGCGCAAAAGAGCCCTGAGACGTAAGTCAAAAGAGGTCCTTAAGAAATTCATGTTTGTCTTGCGATGGGGAGAGAGCCCATATGCCGGCCTCTCAGGGTTCCCCTCGTGCAACGAATGGCTTAGGGAGGGGCGCCACCTTTTAGCGAGACACCAAGCAACTCTTGAGGTGCCCGACTTTCCTTTTTGGCATTGGCTTTTCAGGGCCATTTTGATGGTGACATGTTTTGCCCTTGAAAAGGACAGTTCTCCGATTTTCGCTTAGAATGGACCCCCTTTTCGACTCCCTTGAAAGACGGCACGCGATGGCGCTATCCCAAAGGGGGCCGGAGCCCATGTTTGCTGAAACTCCCTGCACTGGCTCCACTTGGTGGATTCACCTTTCCTTCAAGACGCTGGAACACGCCTCACAAGTCGAGGGAGTATAAGGAGAAGCGTCAAGGGTAGCATTTGCTATTCTGCCACACACACACACGCACACAAAAGCACCAGCCCTTTATAGGCCTCCAAATGCAAACTCGGATAGATTAGATTAGATTAGGCTAGACTGAATTAGATAGACAGACAGACAGACAGACAGACAGACAGACAGACAGACAGACAGACAGACAGAGAGAGAGAGAGAGACAGACAGACAGACAGACAGACAGACAGACAGAGAGAGAGAGAGAGACAGACAGACAGACAGACAGACAGACAGACAGACAGACAGACAGACAGACAGACAGACAGACAGACAGACAGACAGACAGACAGACAGACAGACAGACAGACAGACAGACAGACAGACAGACAGACAGACAGACAGACAGACAGACAGACAGACAGACAGAGAGAGAGAGAGAGAGAGAGACAGACAGACAGACAGACAGACAGACAGACAGACAGACAGACAGGCAGGCAGGCCGGCAGGCAGGCAGACAGACAGACAGACAGACAGACAGACAGAGACAGACAGACAGACAGACAGACAGACAGACAGAGACAGACAGAGACAGACAGATCGATCGATCGATCGATCGATCGATCGATCGATCGATCGATCGATCGATCGATAAATAGAGAGAGAGAGAGAGAGGAGACAAAATGCGGAGAACCGTGCGGGCGTGTCTTTTTTGTTGAGGGAACTTATATTATTTTTGCTAGTCCAAAGAAAGCCAGAAGTTAGAAAGGAAACCAGCCATGTTGGCTTCCTGTTCAGACGGAACCCATGCCTAGGGAGATATGGCTTGGTGAAGCTGGTGGCTGCAGGGGCAAGGCCTGTACAAAGCTGAATGTGGAGCACTGCTCAGTCAGTGTTTCAGCCCGTGCCGTCACCAGCTTCTGTCAATATCATTGATTGGAGCCGTTTTTTGGTCGGGAAGCATTGGCAAAGTTTGGATGAGTCTCCGAGGTCCTACTATGGCAAACATGCCAGTACTTGATAAGGCTTTGGCTGACCCTTCAGACATGGGATTTGTGAGGGCTGTTCACAAGATCTTGTCAGCAAAATTGCAAATGAACGTGCGTCCCACCTCTTAGATGATTTCACGCGTTGTCTGTACGCAAATGAACCAACTGCACAATCAAACCCTATTACTAGAAATTTGCGGTCAATCCAGTTACCTTGTCCCTTGCAATATCTAGAGCATCCATCGAAGCGCCTTGTCCCGCGGTTCTGTTTTGGCTGCTTAAGGAGAGTATCAAGGATATCTCCGTGCCAGTGCTGATTCTGCAGGGCCGATCTGACAGCATCTTGGTTCAGTGAGGTTGCCTCTGTTTCCCATGTTGGGGGAAGTATGCTAGGTGACTGTCTCCAAGCCAGCATGCAGGTTCCGCCGTTCTTTCCTTCAGCACTGAACTGTGAGTGGCGCTGCACCTGTCTTTGATGGAGCTTCCCCAGCTGGCGTCATTTTACCCTTCTCTTCAAATGGGCCGGGCATTTTGAGGGGCAGGGGCGGAGCTGGGAGGGGCCGGACCCCTGTCTTTGCACGACAAGGTTTGGTGCCGCCTTACAACGCCGAGCAATTGCAGCGTGGCGCCTTGGCAGATGATTGGCCTCTGTTCAGGGGGCGGGTTTTTCCAGGGCTCGCACTTCGGCTTTTGGGTGCTGAACTTGATTGGCTTTTCTTTGCGTGAGATGTTTTTGAAACGAAACATACTTGGCACAAAATAGTGATCTCACAAAGGGATTTTGTTTGCAACCTCGGGCCCCATGATAATTTGGTGCATTCCTTATTGCAGAGTGCATGATACGATCCGCATTGGACGGATATCAACGTGCGCAGACCTACAATTTGGTGAAAGAGATGGCACATGTCCCTCTTGTTGGTTTCGTCAAACCGTTTAACGTACCTGCATGAAGGGAGTTGTGCCATCTGCTGTTCCGGTGCGAGCGCAAGGAGCCCGGCAGGGCTGCGTGCACTTCTACCAGGGTGGTCACGATGAGCCCAACAACCCAGAGGCGAGGGAGCTCGAGCCGACTTTTGTTCTCTGTTGATTTCATACGATGCTTGAGATGTTAGGTTGCACTTGCTGAGTGGCCGACATTGTTTCTTCATTTTTGAGGCGCCCAAAGCGCCGGGGAATATCTGGGCAACGAAGAGCATCCAATCTCCGAATTTTGACAACCAGAATGGGAATTTGAGAATGAATCTATGGCCGTGTCCCTACGGAGTATTGACCATGGCAGAGATGTTCATTGCGAAGGCGAAGCGAGACTCGCTTTAGCACAGAAAACCCCGGAGCAGTTGGCGCTCGACTCAAGTTGCTTTGTACCTGCATATCTTCACCAGACCGCAGTATGAGAGTGGACGCCAGTCACTAACCAGGGAATTTGGTACAACGTGTTGGCTTGTCAAGAAAAAGTCTTTTTGGGACAGAAAGTCGTACTCGCGATGCGCATTTCCGAGCAGGTGCAAGAGGCCATCCTCAGCTTCGCCAAGAAACTTTGGTGAGAGCCCGGCGAGCGAGCGACCTACGGCTCGAAAGCTTGCGTTCGAAAGAGTGGAGGTGCCCTCCGACTGGCCGAAAAGGCACGCGACGCTGGACCAAAGACCCATGCGGTCGATGGAAGTGCTGGCGCAGACTTTCTGGGGCGCTGGAGATCGGTTCAGAAGCTGAGCACCGGCTACCGGCAGCCGAGCTTTTTGGCCTCAGGAAAAGCGCTGCCGTGGTGGGATGTCGGATCCTAGGTCTATCGGCACACTAAGTCATAGGGCAATCAGAGCAGGGGGTTTGGTCTAAACCCATGAATCATCCTCTGAGGCATCGCCGGCATTGCTGGGCAACTCAATGTGTTTGGGACTCGCTAAGATTACGGCTGAAATCCTTGTTCCTTTGCAGTGATGCACCTCAGATGGGTTGCTTTCACAAGCGCAAGTTCGTTGATGACCCTCTCGGACTGCAAGCCTCTCAGGACTTGAGGAGAAGCCTGGACACACTGGTAGAAGACAAGGCTGGGAGGCTTCGAGCGCGAGGCTTCCAGCGAGTGCTGAAAACCAGTGGAAGGTGAGGAAGGACGTCTTCGGTTGCCGCATTTCTTGAGCGTCCAAAAGTTGGATTTGGCCCAACACTTGCTGAAATTCTGACCTTTTGCTTTTGCCAGTCCTGGCTCCATTGTGTCCGGAGTGCATCGACAGTTCGCAGGCACAAGAGGTGAGCCTCCACTTAAAGCAGCAGCTGGCGGACAGCAGCGAGCAGCTGTCGGAGATGCTGCAGGCGCTTGGTTTGCCGCGGGGTACACTGCAGATTGACGTGGATCCCCAAGACCATCATAGCGGAAGCTCCTCTTGGTTTGGGCTCCATGTCGTGCCAATGTGCAAAAGAGTATTGATTTTGCTGGTTGGAACACCCTGAGAAGCGACAGTATGTAGACAGTGACGGATATTGCTAATTTGAAAGGGAGGAGGCAGACAAGCACAATGCTGACAATCTTGTATGAGGAGCCATACGGGAGGCGGTGCAGACGGGTTGCAGTGAAAGAGAGGGAGACAGTTTGGCTTGGGAAAGCTGTTCGCTGTCTCGCTGCATACAAATCCCAAATTTTTAGGTTGATGAATCATTATCGATATTGATTTGAGTATGGTTCACAGAGACCCATGCCCGCTTTGTTTGTTGAGTAACCCATTCCCGTTGGCTTGAACATTTGCACAGGACATAGGGCAGTGATTGAAAGTCAGCTTCAGTGTCGTCACTTGTTATGTGGAGCAAGGGGACTCAAGACACGCAGCTTTGCTTTTCGGTTGGTGTCTTGCTGTCGGAAGCATGACAAAGCCTTCTTGACTCAGAAGTTCGAGCCACATTGTAGATAATCACAGATCAATTGGTTTTACAACAAGCCATATCCTGATATCGTAACATTTCAGGCCACAGCATGCTGGGTCCAGAGGTATCATCACGGCATTTCATATCGTATACCCCTTCTTGAACACTGTCAAAACAACATAGCCATGCCGTGTCATGTTGTGGCACATATCAGTTTCATGCGAACTTGCAACCTGCACAAGATGCTAGTGGATAATGCAGTTGAGCCAGGGATTGTTGGAATGGGTCATCACATGCCCCAAATACAAGTTAGAGCTGACGCTCTGCGCGAAGCCAAGCGTGCAAGAGCCGGGGGGGGGGGTTCAGACAAAGGCAAAAAGGTTGCGCTAGGCTGAAAGAGCTTTCATGCAGCCAGCCAGCCCTCCTGGCCCAGGCCCACTCTTCCGCGCAGGGGGAGAGGCTGAGGATTTGCGAGGCAGGTTGCGGTCAGTGAGGCTTTTGCTTCCTGGGCAAGTTTGAAAGGTTCTCAAAATAAGCACCCGGTTTCATGGTATGCTGTCTTCAAAGAGGCTCTTTTGGACCCAAAGAGGAGCCAACAGCAAGTTGGCCAATCCCCATTCGGGAGTGTTCCGAAATTAGGCATTGCCTTGAAGCCTTGATGAGGAAAATCATCAACAATCCCAACAGTTTGAAGAGGACAGTTGGGACACATCCCAAACAGTCGTGTCTCAAAATAGAGACGCCATCCGGTCGGATAGTCTGTTACAGGTAAACTGGGCGGAATCAATACAATCCCATTTGGGGTGTGGACTTTGCGGGCGGGGGGGGGGGGGAAGGGGAAAACATTGGCGCGTCTTTTTGAGAAGGCCCCTCTTTTTGTGGTTCTAAATAAGAGGGAACCAAAAGGAAAGCCACCCTTTTAAAGGCTCCCTAAAAGAAAGGAGAGCTTTACATGGAAGCCACAAAAACGGGGTTTCTGCCATGCCGAAACCCGACAGGATCGCCTGGCCAAGTTGGCCTTTGGAGCATTGCAGGCGGGTGGAGACCTCCAAAACGAAGGGACCGTTGCAGCTGTGCCAACGCCGGTGAGATGATGGCACACGGACCACGCTCTCCTCCCCCGGCAAACGCGTTTCAGCCGACTTTCTTTTTGAGGATCCTTCTGGGGAATCTGGGCCGGGGGTGGGTTGATTGTCGAAGTGAGACTGGCGCAGGCAACCGAGCCCCAGGAGGAGGATCAGAGGAGACGTTCGGCGCCATTTTGTTTTGCGCTAGCAAGGGGCTGAGCCCACTTTGTCACCCTCGCGCGTGCTTCAACAGAAAGATGTTCAAACTGAAACGCTGAGATAAGGAGACTGGTTCTTCCACAGAGCATGCTGCTCTTGTTTTCTGCACGGGCTCAGCAAAAAGCCCCGAGTGTCAAACATGTATCCTTGGTGGACGACGTCAACCGCAAAGCCTGATGAGGCGTAGTCTGACGCTGTGTCGCTGAGCCGGTTCCCGGCTTGGTCCCTTTCGGGCAACCCAGAAAACAACGATCAAGTAGGCTTTCCTAGCTTGTGTTGCACAAACAGAAAGTTCTGGAAACGAGGTGGATCAAGCTCAAGGTCTGGCCAGAAGGGCCAGCTCGGAGAACTTGGGACCATTTCGTGAGGCGAGCGCCATTGGACAAAGTTGCAAAGGGAATGAAGTGGCATGAAGTGGCGTGAAGCCGCAGGGCCCTTAAGTTTGCAGGTTGGTAGGATTTCAAGCATTGGTTTGAGGCACATGGACTTGTAAAGCGCATGGCAAGGGTATGTTCAGGATATTTTGTATAAGTTGGTCAAGGGTATGGTATTGGGAGATCTGGTGGTTTGGGGCGTTCCTTCTTATGTGGGTGGGTGGGATGACCAAATTCTAAGACATGATCTGAAATTTAAGGGCTGCCGCCCAGTGCCGCCGACCCCTGGATTTAGTTGTGGTTTTCGAGCAACCAAAAACAGTGCCCTTGGTTTTGGTTTCTTTGGTTTCTTTTTGACCCAAATGGCATCTGAAGCGAGGTGATCCTCATCATCTTCATGATGATTGTCATCATAGTCATCGCCTTCATCATCGTCATCATGATATTCTTCTATCATTTCAAATGCGGTATTAGGCATCCTTGGTAATGCAGAGGATGCTACGATGATAGTTATCATGACAGTCATCCGCAGCTTTGGTAATGCAGAGGATGCTACGATGATAGTTGTCATAAGAGTCATCATCCTTATCATCTTCATGATGATTGTCATCCTGGTCATCGCCTTCATCATCGTCATCATGATTTTCTTCTATCTTTATACATTTGAAATGCATCCTTGGTAATGCAGAGGATGCTACGATGATAGTTATCATCCGCAGCTTTGGTAATGCAGAGGATGCTACGATGATAGTTGTCATAAGAGTCATCATCCTTATCATCTTCACGAGGATTGTCAGCATAGTCATCGCCGTCATCATTGTCATCATGCTTGTCATCATCATCATCATCATCTCTTCCTTAGGCATCCTTGGTAATGCAGAGGATGCTACGATGATAGTTCCGCAGCTTTGGTAATGCAGAGGATGCTACGATGATAGTTATCATAAGAGTCATCATCCTTATCATCTTCATGATGATTGTCATCATAGTCATCGCCTGCATTCCTTCATCATTGTCATCATGATCATCATCATCATCTCTTTCTTCTATCTTTCTTCTATATACATTTCAAAATGTGGCGTTAGGCATCCTTGGTAATGCAGAGAATGCTACGATGATAGTTATCATGACAGTCATCCGCAGCTTTGGTAATGCAGAGGATGCTACGATGATATAGTTATCATAAGAGTCATCATCCTTATCATCTTCATGATGATTGTCATCATCGCCTTCATCATTGTCATCATGATTGTCATCATTATCATCATCTCTTTCTTCTATCTTTCTTCTATAAACAAAGATGAGGGCTGTGATGATTATATCATCGTAGCATCCTCGGCATCATCAGTGCCGGCTAACAAGAGATGATGATGACCATGATGATAGTGATGATAAGGATGAGGACTGTGATGATAACTATCATCGTAGCATCCTCTGCATTGCCAATGGGGCCTAACGTCACTTTTGAAATGCATATAAGAATAAGAATAAGAATGAGATGGATGATCATCATGATGATGATGAGAAGAGCGATCATCATAATAAGGATGATCATGATGATGATCATGATGATAACTATCATCATAACACCCTTTGCATGCCTAATAAGAGATGATGATGACATCCTCGGCATCACCAGTGCCGGCTAACAAGAGATGATGGTTAACCATGATGATAGTGATGATGAGGATGAGGACTGTGATGATAAGGATAAGTATCGTCGTAGCATCCTTTGCATTGCCAGTGGGGTCTAACGTCACTTTTGAAATGCATATAAGAATCAAGAATGAGATGATGATGATCATCATGATGATGATGAGAAGAGCCATGACATGATAATAAGCACAAGAGATGATGATGATGATAGTGATGATAAGGATGAGGACTGTGATGATAACTATCATCGTAGCATCCTCTGCATTGCCAATGGGGCCTAATGGATGATCATCATGATGATGATGAGAAGAGCGATGATCATGATGATGATCATGATGATAACTATCATCATAACACCCTTTGCATGCCTAATAAGAGAAACCATGATGATAGTGATGATGAGGATGAGGACTGTGATGATAAGTATCGTCGTAGCATCCTTTGCATTGCCAATGGGGTCTAACGTCACTTTTGAAATGCATATAAGAATCAAGAATGAGATGATGATGATCATCATGATGATGATGAGAAGAGCCATGACATCATAATAAGGATGATCATGATGATGATTATGATGATAACTATCATCGTAACACCCTTTGCATCACCAGTGCTGCCTAATAAGAGATGGTGATGACCGTGATGTTTACTGATGACAAGGATGAGGACTGTGATGATAGCTATCATCGTAGCATCCTCGGCATCATTAGTGCCGGCAAACAAGAGATGATGATGATGATAGTGATGATAAGGATGAGGACTGTGATGATAACTATCATCGTAGCATCCTCTGCATTGCCAATGGGGCCTAACGTTACTTTTGAAATGCATAAGAATAAGAATGAGATGATGATGATCATCATGATGATGATGATGATGACATCCTCGGCATCACCAGTGCCGGCTAATAAGAGATGATGATGTTGAAGGATATAGAAATGATGATGATGATGATGTTGACGATAAGAATGATGAAGGATCATATCGATGATGATGATAATGATGATGATGGGCGTCCGTATGATGCCAGTAGTCATATGCTTGCCTCAAAGATTAATCCATGCGCTTGTACTGCAACCACCCTTCCCGTGCGCCTCCCCTTTGAGGAGAAGGGGTCGGCGGATTTAAGGCTTGCTGGAGGTGCCCGGGGGCATTGTTTAGGGCGTGCGATGGCGAGGTGCGGCGTGCTCTTTGTTGAGACTTTGGGGCCAAAGCCATGTCAAGGATTGCGGAGCGCCCTGTTATTCAGTTCACTGCCACAGGGAGCTTTGGTGGTAAGATGAGCTCACCCATGAAGGCGTCTTTGATTGGAGAATCTCCTTCGTTTGGTACATGGTACAGGCCGTCAGGGAGTGCCTGGCCCTCTTGGGCCGCTTCAGGAGGCCAGGCTCCACGGGCAGCGGCTGCAGCAACGCCGGGGGGGCCTCCGTGGAGTCCCGGGTGGCGCGCCTGGAGAGGAACTTTAAGGCGCGCCTGCGGGTGGGGCCCGGGGTGCCTGGTGTATTTCTTGTTGGTGCGTGTTTTTGTTAAGGGTAGTTTTATTTTTCTGATTTATTCTTCTTTTTGGGATTGAGGGCACCGGTTTCTGACCGTCAGACATCGCTGCAATGCCGCTGGGAGCTCAAAAGCAAGTTTTGGACCAAAGTAGCAGTGGTCATCTCACAAAGCGCGCATGTCGCGCGTCATTCTTGCGCAAGTGAGCACAACGGGTCCTAGATTTGGTGAGAGTTTGCATGATTTCCCGGTCATTGTGATGAGTAGAGCTTGAACTGGAGCAGCGGGGGAGCAGGGGGGGTCGAGCCTCTGAAATTGAATGAGAAAGGCGAAGTGCAGGTTCTTGCGGTGTTTCTTAGGGAATTGATTATGTGTGAAAATCGGGGACCCCAACCAACCTGGTAAGGGTAGCCGCAACAAAACACAGGCCCAAGTGACCATGCGTACAAGGGCTGGCCACCCGGCCGGCCAAAGAGGTTGAGGGGATCACCAAATCTTGGCCCCTCTGACAGGTGCCAATGTCACCGGCCCATGCCGCCGGCACTGCGAACATGGTTCATCGTTTTCGTGTTTTCTATCTGTTTTTTGGGGGTGTTTTGGCACGTGCACCGCGCCCCGTGTGTGTGTGCGTGTTTTTCCTTCTTTTTTCAGGCTTTGCGCGGAGCAAACCCTTGGCAGAGCCCCCCAGTCCTGGACAAGCTTCGGACAAGCGTGAGCATCGTAAAATTGTCGCACGGGGGGGGGGGCTGTAGTGTTTCTGACCCGCCGAACAATGTCGGCCAATGTTTTTTCAGCAGCCAACCCCTGCTGTCTTCCATTGCAACCATAAAGTACTTGACCGGATGGCCACTTCCAGCTCCAAAAACGCGGTGGAAACGGATTTGACATGGTTGCTGCTGATGCAAAAAGTGTTTAACTTTTGGGGGTTTAGTGGAGAAAACTCTTGATTTCCCCCAAAAAGTCAGTCGAAAAATCCAACCCAATAGCCGTTGCAACGGAGTTGACATTTGGCTCTGGGTCAAAAATAGGTACCCCAAATAGAACCCTTTTAAGTGGAAACATGGAAACCTGCGATCCCCTGGTGGTTAAATTTCGACCCATACCCATTTGCCCTCTTTCCAACGGAAGTGCTGATTCAGCTTGGCTTCTAGATGACCCTCTTTCCAAGGACGGCGCGGTTTGGTGTCTTTCTGTGCCTTTTGCGCAGGGCCTCGCCGCCTGGGCCTCCACCGGGGACGCCCAGCGCCTGGAGGAGGTGGCCGCAGCCGCCAAGCAGGCGCGTGCCCCGCGGTTTTTCTTGGGGAAGCGAAAAAGCGAAGGCCCTTTGGGAAGCGACGGCGACGGTCCAGCCCAATTTTTGCCCTGGCGAGCTCTTGGAAGAATCAGACTTTTGGTCGAGTTGTTTGAGTTTTTTTTGATGGGGAGGTGCTTGAAGAGAACATGCAGGAAGGTTGCTCGGGGCGCCGGCTGGTTTCTGCGGGTGTTTCGTTCGGCGTTGAAGCTGCTTTGCTTGGCGAGACGCACGCGACTCCTTTGGTTGCCCGGAAGTGGCTCCATCACTTGGGGAAACTCGCATGATGTGAAGAGGGGCAACCCGCCTTTCGGACACACAAGAACAACAAGGGAAATCGCAAGGAACCAATCACTTTTAGGCCATCGCCTTTGTACCCGCCCATGCAGGCCCAGGCGGACGCCCGCCGCTGGAGCGAGCGAGTGCAGCAGCTTGAGGCTGGTGCACGGTGAGGGCCCATTTGGCAGTCTTCAGGGAGCAAGTGAGCAGGACATGGATGGCCATTCCACAAACCGCAGATGAGCAAGTTTGGAGCCTTTCCCAGCGCCCTGCAATTGCACGACAATTATCTTTAGAGTCCAAGCAGTGCTACGCAATGGACCCGGACAAGTTGAAGGGTGTGAATATGCTCTATACTATATGCCGGATGGCGGCTTATGGATCTCACGCATTGCTTGCAAAGAATGCGGATTTGGCAGCTGGGGCTCAGCAAAAGGTTCTGGCTAATGATTTTCTTCATCAATAGAAGTTCCTTACTAAAGATGTCTACCATTTTGCCAAGATTGTGCTACCATTTGGCTCAAGCTTCCTTTGCCCCTGTGAATACACAATTAGGGGTGGTTGTGGGGAAATGACAGCCTATGTCGAATCTCCGTGGTTTGCGCTGCTCGCCCTTCTATCACGTGTTTTACAATCTGGAGGGCGCCAGCTGTGGCAGGTGCAATACCACGCTGCGGACCAAGAATGCCCTAAGCCTCGACAGTCTGTTCTTTGAAGCGCTGGAGGAATGCGGCCGACGGCATGACGGCTGCAGCACGGCTGGAGAGCGTCACTGGAAGGCCTGGTTGCTGAGGAGGCCCTCTTTGAATTTGAGCTTGTTCGGAGAGTTTGACGCAACTGCCGAAGTGACCACCATCTAACTGATACGCGAAAGGGCTGATGCCAAGCGGCATTAGCTGGAGGCAACAAGCGGGGGAGGCGCGGGCACAGCGCGTGGAGCAGAAGCGCGAGGCGAACGTTGAATCGCTGAGAAAAGAGATCCAGTTGGTAGCCAAGGAAGAGATGGGCATGGACCTCAATCGGGTGAGGCAGCGATAGGCCATTCTCGACGACAATGACCTGATGAAGCAGCAGGGCAAACATGATGAGTCGTCATTTTTTGTTCGTTGCTCGATCAGCACAGGTGCGCGTCAATGTGGCCGTTGGAATGATTTCGAAGTGGATTACACTGACGCAGGTTTTCGCGTTTGCGTGATGACCGCTTTGCCAAGTGATCGAGAACCAGCAACAAAAGACATGTCGCAGAGATTTGCAGAGGAAGCATTGAGGATCCCCCCAAACTCAGCATCAGCTTTGGCACCCGAGCTTCCTTTCGTGGAGCATTGTGAAGCGAGCGTTTTTAGGAGCGCGGTTTTTTCAATTAAACACGTGCAGGTGTTTCTGTCCTTACCTTTGGTATTGAGATCATTTGCCCAAAACATGGGCCAAGAGGCAAGCATGGAACCATCAATTCTAGAGGAGTTTCCTTTGTGGCGCACCCCACAGTTGGGTTCTACCCTCGGACACGCACAGGCGCGGCTCAGCCTTCCTGCGCAGCTTGCTCAGCTCGGGGTTTGATCGAACTCGCGGATGGTTTTGGGGGCCATGGAAGAACCCGCGCGCTTAATTGGGCATGCGGTTTGGCTTTTGGCTTTTGGCAATTTGGTGAGTTGGGACCTCCAGGTCACGAGTTGCGAACAAATTATGGAGCTTTGGTCAGCCCCGCGCACGCAGAGTGGTTCCAAGCTCATTTCAGGAACAAACTGCTTAGACTCCAAACTGCTTAAACACGTCTGTGCGGGATTGCTTTAAGCCCATTGCTAGGGGCAACCATGTGTCGCTCACTATGTTTTCACGCATTCTGCCAGAGTGGTGTAAGCACCTCGACGTTGTTTGAATCGTTAAACCGATCAGACGAGGCCCATGGGGTAAGATGGGAATGACTCCTTGTTTCTCACTGGAGTGGTTCAAACAATTTGAGGGCTGAGGCGTGAAGGCGTCAAGGTGCATTTTTTTTGCATGGAGTTGCCACGTTTTTGTTCATTTCCGGACCCCAAGGCCGGCGAATTCGGCTCAGAGCGTCGAGCCCTTGGGCGACGACCGTGCCCTTGCTGCGCACCCAGATCCGCGCCATCGCCATTTTGGGTTTACCTTAAAATGGGTTTACCGTAAAATGGGGGGAGGGTCATGGACACTTAGAGTGTTTTTTTCGCAGCCAAGCACCCGAAAAAAGAACATAATGCAGTGTCCGCCATACGGGGGGGGGGAGGCTACACACCCCCAAGATCAGCTGGAGCTGGGCGTGTTTCTGGAGGATGCTCCCTTTTGAGCTTGATTTCAACGGAAATCGAAAAACAAGCCATCTTGGGCTGCTAGGAGACAAACCCTCCTGTTCTTTGTTTTGGTTCTTGTCTGTAGGACGCACATTGGAGTCACTTGTATTTCGCAGATGCGCCCCTGGAGTCTGCGGAACCACCAAGCAATGAACGCCAGACAATTCATGCGTCGGCCTACGCATCTGCGCGGTTGCTGTTCTCAACCTCAAGTAGGGCGGAACTTGACAGGTCCAAGCAAACTTATAACGCAACAAGACACAGTGGAAGGAACCAGACGTAAAGTTTGGTTGGCCGCGATTGTGCCCTTTCGCAAGGGCTACTATTTCCACCATGGTATCATGGGCCAATGTAACGGAAGGGTTGCCTTTGTGAAAGGGCACACTCGTCAGCCGCAGAAAGCATGATGGCAGTTCAGTCCGGTAAGTCCGGTAATCATGTTTCAGCCGAGTTGAATAGAAACCGCAATGATTTCATGATGCTTTTCCTTTTGTATTTAAAGAAAGACAAAAAACAACAGATTGGCTTATGGCATATTTCATCCTTCGATGAATTTAGGCGCTGGAGCGTCACCTGTACGAGCTGGACGCGGAGGTGCGGCAGTCGGAACCCCAGGCGAAACAGGCCGGTCCATGGTCCCTCTGTTCAGGGAAATTCACCAAGCAACAGGTTTTTGGGGTTCGAGAAAGGCCCGAATCTAGGTTTAAAGGCTCGTTGAAAGGGCGGAACTTGTTTTAAGAAGTGGTTGGCTACCTCCTTGTTGCCACTCAAATTATGTGAGTCTGCAATGATGCAGCTCTTGGGGGACCACCCTCAAACAGCAATCAGTTTCGAATTTCTGTTTGGAAGACAAGAGAGTGATGTCTTATTTCATTCCGTCATCCATCGCTAGAATCAAGCGAACAGACACAACAAAGCTGTGTACCGTAGTGTTCATGTAATCTTCCGCTCACCTTTCGTGTACTTTTTGCCAGCATCAGCGTCTTTGCGTGCAGCCTCGGGACGGAGGGAGCAGGAATGAATAGAGCTTGGCAGTTTAGCTGCATGTGGCGTGCATTCTCGCACACGCTCTGAGGTTGCAGGAGAATCTCCCATCGCGGATCTCGGAGGAGCATCGTCCCCTTTTCCTAAGCGCCTTTGTGCAAAGGGAGCTCTTGTTCCCGAGCTGATCTCGGGGCGTGGCAAAATTCCAATGTGTCTTGCCAGGATGAGAAGGTCCACAGTGGCATCCTCGAAGAAGTGCACAGGGATTTGCTGGGCCCCGTGGCCGTGCAGCGCTCAGAGGGCAGTCACTCTTGGAGGTGAGAGAGATGCTACCATCTTGGGCCGTTCCGCGCAAAGGGTCGCGCTGGTTTGCTGAGGCGTCAAGTCGAGGCAGCCTCCTCCAGGCGAGGAATCATGTACCCGTCAAAACCCGCCCAGCATTGTTGTGACTGCTGAGCTGCAGGGGGTTTGATTTGCTTTCAGAGCGCGTCGTCATCGTCGTCGCGGCTGCTGCTGCTGCTGCTGCTGCTGCTGCTGCGGCTGCTCAACGTAGTGGACTTGAAGCCACCTTGTCAAGGCGAGCCCAGCCAGCCTTGTGGCAAGCCCTGAGATGAGCGTTGAGGCCGGATGACAGAGGAAGGACCTTCAAGGGATGCACGCTTTACACCTCCAAGGGACGTGCCAGGCTTTTTGGTACCATGAACCAAGAGCGGTGCAGAGCAAGCTTTGGGCGTACCCGTTCTGAATGGCCATGACAGGGATTTTTACCGGCAATTCACGACTCTTTTTGGCCAATTCACAGAACGGCCTTGAATTCACTGGCCACATCCGTGGGAATGTTGTCCCTTCGTCGGCTTTTCCCACTGACCTAACTACGCATCGTCTGAGTCGCCAGCGTTTCGTTCGAAGGCAAAAGAGACTGCAGCTGAAGGCCCGCAAGCGGAATTGGTGTTGGGCCGGAAAACCTTGGCCTGTTGATGGTTTGTTTAACCAGTGGCCAGGTTGTTCCTGCTTCACGGCTTCAGCCGTTGCTCCGCCAATGTGTTGCCAGTGTTTGTGGCTCAGACGTTTGCTTGCACGCCTATGAGCGGCCTCTGGAAAGGAAACGGACATGCATCATAAGTTCGCAGCTGTGGGCACCGTGCGCAAACATCGATTCTTATAATATATATATATATATATATACACCCCTTTCGGCCGTTTTGCAGGGTCTTTCCATTCTCCTATCAGCCATGACCAGCCGCTGATATCCGCCTTCATTCACGAATATTGTGAGATGCTCATATGAGGCCCATGTGCAAATTACAGGCATGAGCGGGTGTCAAGGGAGCTCTTTCCTATCATTTGCCTCGCCAGCGTGGCGCAGGTTCAAACATCTTCAACATGTGTGAGTGTTGCAGGCAAAGCAGATGTGTAGAAGCAGATGGCTTGCGGGTGACACCAGTTTTCTGGCAGCTTCTGACACATATATGTATATATTATATATATATATGATTAAGAAATCTCGCACAAACCATTCGGAACAGTTGTTGGATATCCATCATCCCCAAGAGCAACTCAATCCGCTACTCCCAAACTTTTACCGCTACAGGGAACATGGAGTATATGGGTGTGTCCTATTATGCGGAACCCTCTTCAGATGTTTTAATGAACGTAAAAAGGAAACTACCATCGAAAGGTTTCCCAGATTTAGAACAGCATGAAGGTCTTGGCTTGACGGATACCCCAACCGATGCCATACGGATATCAGTAGCTGTCATTCGCGCAACAGCTCATGCAAATCTTCTCGCCTGCGCAGCGTGATCCTTCATTGGGGATACATGATCACGGCGGACACCCGGCCGGTCCGGGCTTACAACATACTCCGGCCAGTTGCGGCTCTACGCACAAAGCTGCAAGCCTTGACAAAGCAGCAGGCGGGGATCGAGGAGGGATCAGAGCTTGTTCTTCCATCCCATTCTTGCAAAACAACGAGGCCACCAGCTTGTACCATTTAAGGAGCGCCTAGTTGTTTTTTTGGGGCACCACCCCCCCCAGATGTGTGGAGTAGCTCGCTCGAGATCTACCGAACAGCTTGTTTTCTTTGATGGTTACCTCAAGCTTGCCTGTTCCTGGATGTCCTTTCTCCCGCTCACTTCGTAGCCGTGAGAGGGTACCTGAAGATCAATTTCCTGCGTGCCATGTGTGGAGCGAGAGGTATACGCTCCAGGGCTCTCGCAAGTGAACCATTCTTGCAACATGGGCGCCCTTCGTCCAAAAGGGTCTCGCTCACTTCCATTTGTTGATTGGAGGGTAAACAACATTCCTTTTTGCCCAATAGACCAGCTGCATGCTTAGAAATTAGAGGATCTTCAGAGTTTGGACCGGGCTTATGGCTTACGTGCTGTAATGTGGAGCAATTCAAGACATTCCCGCTGTTTGTGCGAGCGGCAGACGTGGGGGATGGTTATGGATCCTTCAAAAGGGAGCATTTGTTCCAGCAACTGCCCTTCCAAAAGCCAACATGCAGCCTGAAAACCAGTCCCTGCTGCCCGGAGCCTCATTCAGGTTTGGGTATGAGGATTCCTTTCTGGGCGACTCACAAGTGGCGGAGTTTGGACCGTGGCATCCCTGAACGCCCGCGTCACGTGCGCATGCCAGGACGACAGGAGCTGGCACTTGGAGCAGGAGCTGCGAAAGCTGGAGCAAGAGTTGCGAAAGCTGCAGCTGCGACCTCAATGCCCTCAATGCACCCCCGAACAAAGCCTGGGAGTTGCCATGCCTCGGGGGAGTTTTTTTTGCGGCGGGCGAGGTGGTCGCGCGAGGGGTGGGCTGGGGGTGGCAGGATGGCAAAGCGGTGCCCTTGAAAACGGAGCATTTTTAAGCCATTCAGCCGTTGCGATGTGCCACTCGATCCGGTGTGATTTGAAGCGACTTCACCCGTGACGGGGGTCCTCGTTTCAAGGGGGTAAGTTGTTGCTTTCATGATCATCATCATCGTCGTCATCATCATCGTCGTCATCATTGTCGTCATCATCATCGTCGTCGTCGTCATCATCGTCGTCGTCGTCGTCATCATCGTCGTCGTCGTCATCATCGTCGTCGTCATCATCGTCGTCATCATCATCGTCGTCGTCATCGTCGTCATCCTCATCATCATCATCATCATCATCATCATCATCATCATCATCATCAGCATCAGCATCAGCATCAGCATCAGCAGTAGCAGCAGCTGCATTAGCATCATTCATATTCAGATTCATATTGTTATTGTGGTATCATCATTATCATTCATTTTTTTAGAAGCTAGCCGCTCGTGGGTCGACTGAGGCTGCAGGTGCAGCTCGCTGGCGGCGCAGGCACTCCTTTTGTCCGGTGGAAAGTTGGCTTTTTGTTGGTAGGGACGTGAGCAACATCTTGGCAGCTCATCATCCGCAATGTTCCTAAGGGAAACCGTTGCCATTTTGGGAGACCAAGGTGGCAAGCTTTCCATGAGACTTTGCTGTTAAGCCGGGATGGGCATTTGTTTGAGACGGTGGGACAAGTGAACTTTTGGTAGACTCAAGCTTTTCTTTTAGCTATTCACTTTCTACCTTTGTGTTGTGCCAATCTGAACTGACCAAGGGTTATTTTTGATCACCGTGGGGATTTGCGGAAAGAAACCCATTGCGGCTCAACTCGCGCACCTGGAAGGGGAAACCTCCCAGGTGGTGACCTTTGAAGGCGACATGAAGTGAGGCGTAGAATTAAACCCAACTCAGCCCCTGGAAAAGTCAACACATTGCAAGTAGACCCAGTAGACCAACTGCGGGAAATCCTCAATCCTCTTCCAAAAAGTTCCCCCCCCACCATCGCAAGCACCCACCATCCTACTTCCTGATACCTCTCGGATGGCTATCTCACACCACTTGTCCCAGGAGTTTGATGGGATATACAGCTACTATATTGCCGCCACATCAATCCGTGGTGACTGGAAGCAAGGCGAGGCCGGAGAGGGTCTCCCCACCTCTTCCCTGGCGATGCTGGCGAGCCATGACGAGGAGCCTCCGCTTGCGAGCAATGGAGCTTGCTCAACCCGCTGCTCCACCTGTCATTTTGCGCACACATTTGCACGTTTCCTTTTTTGTTGGTGTGGTTTATTTAATTGGGCATCAAGGAGACACCACACATTTGAATTTTCAGGGTTCCCCTATTTGGCGGTGCGTCAGGGCTTGTCACATCCTTTCAACAATGCTTTCAAAACACCTGGATGAGTCCTCAGCTTGGACACAGACACAGACGCACACACGCACACACACACACACACACACTCATGTGCTGCCTTTGTTTCAGGGCCGATTCGGGCCCCGGGGTGCCAGGGAGAACTGGGTTCCTAGCCCGGTGAATCATTGAATCCCAAGCAGTAGCTTGTTGTTTGTGAGCTGTGATGTGCGTTTGACCACAAAACGGTGCCCCATCCTCTTCCCTGTGTGTGTGTGTGTTTCCTTTTTGGCTTTTCTCTCAGCATCATCAACAAGAGAGAGGTCGTCCCCAAGACTTTAATCCATGAGGACAATTGAGGTGTTCCAGCTTCTTTTCTCCCAACACATCAACACCCCCCGTGCTTCTTGAAAGGAGACAAAACACGGGGCTCATGGCTACTTGAGTGGAAACTGGCCTTGAACCCAATACATAGCATCAAGCATCAAGGCTATTCAGGCGTGACTAAGGGTCATTTGAGGAGAATATGGAGGCCACGCACATTTTCCACAACCAAAGCCTAAAGGACCCGCCTACTTCTCAACAAAGACAAACGAAGCAGGTACTTGCTTGCAGTATGCGAAATCCGGCGATTGCCAATGCGGCCAAGCAGGGATCTGTGGGGTGGGTGCACGATGATTTTGCACTCCAACTCCTTTTGGCGCCAATCCGCCCAGAGGGGCCCAAAGCTGAAACCCTGCTCCATGCTCCATGTCGGGCCTCCGAAAGGTGGAGCCCAAAACTCGGTGGAAAGCATACACCCAGCGGATTTGCGCGGACAGGAGCTCAAGAACCTGGCCGCAAGTGTCGCAACGCATGCCCGCCGAGTATTGGAGATCCACCGGTGCAATGATCGATTGGGTTGCTCGGTTGCCAAGAAAAGGCGGGCGGCTGAGATTGTGCTGTTCCGGCTTCTGTCGGGGCCTTTGTGTTTGGCAATTTTGCAATCTGTTGTGATTGCTCGCCTTCGTGATAGCCATGTTGTGCTGTGTTGGTTTCATCGTGGAAACAGCTTCTTACTCGGCTCACGAGCTGTGTCCAGTCGGACAAAACCAAGCTCGTTGATGTCCGGGCTGTGGGGCCGAGCCCAAAGGGTCAAACACGTGGGTTCTGGGGGCTTGGCGTCGGGCGTGCGGGGGAAGCAGCTAGCTGGAAGGGGCTCGGTGTCAGATCTCTGAACGCGGTCCCAGATATCTCTTGCTTTGCCTTTGTGAGCCTCACTGGCGTCCATTGTCCATTCATCTGTTTATTTTCGGCGAGAAGTTGAGTAAGCTTTTTGGAAGCTAAGATATGACAGAGAGTTGCAGCTGTTTGCAGCTGTTCGGGTATGGTGGGCATTGTATCCACGTTTTGCTGGTGCACCATCCTGCACCGTGGGCTGTTTCCTAACCCGAACCAGCTGTCGTAGTTTATTCCAAAGAACGGATATCATGGAGACCGTTGCAAAGCAAAAGCAAAGTCTTTTAACCCCAGCTGTCCTGTTTTGGATCCACGTGCGTTCCGGTGGGCTGGAGATGGCAAAACCTGGTGTGTCATTTCGGCCAAAAACAGCGACCTCACGAAGGCATGTGGCATGTGTGGCCTCACCCACGAAGATTCCTGTGGCAGTCACCGATTTCAGGTGAAATATTCTCCAGATCTATGGACCGCCAGGTTGGCAGCGCGCAAGGCAGGGCAGAGAACTGGATGGGAAGGAGTGACAGCTGACTGCAGTTCCGTTCTGCACAATTTGTATTCACCAGCCTGAAATAAGAGACCCCCGAGAGGGACGCTCCGCTATGGGTGAGGCCGCAAGCCAAACATTGATAATCTGATAGTGAGGTCGCTGTAAGTTACCCGGACTTGCTGCCTTCCCTTTGACTACAGGAATTCACATTATAGGCTTCAATGGAATATAACCTGTTGCGCTCGAGAACACATATGCTTGAAGGTCACTAGGTTTCTCTGCCTGACGTTTACATTCAGAGAGTCCCTAGCCCTAAGGTTTCCAGAACGGTACAACACGCCTTTTGGGGGCGGGGGGCATTATTTTGAGCAAAGAGGATGGGGCTGCCAAATCGCCAAAAAGGCCCCGCATGCAACAATCATCAGTGGGTGCTCGCTTTATTCCTTAACCAAGCCAGGCTTTGGTCGGTGCCAAGGTGAATGCTTGTGGTGTTGGGGGGCGGCCCACGAGGTTTTCCAGTCCCTCATGATTCCGAAGATGAAGCTTTAATTTTAAAGTTCAATGGATGCCTCTGCGATTCGGGTGAAGTTCATGTTGCAGCCACTTTGCGAAAGAATGGCCTTTTCACCCTGGTCAACGTGCGCGGACTGCAATCAAACACCGGATGTAGGCTGGGGAAAGCACCCTAGGCGGCCTGTTGCCTTCAGGAGCCCAACATTTACATGTAACGTTTGTAGGCCAAAACACTCATTTGTAGAGGCCCCTTTCTTTGGAAGAGTGTGGGGTCTGGCTCCCGCTGATTTTTCGTGCTTTTGCCGAGGAAACCGCCCCAGACGCTACGCCTGGGCCCTAGGGTCTCATGGGCCTCACCGCCGGGGAGGGAGCGCTTTGGTGGGAGATCTGACATGGAACCCAACAAGTAATGACTCTTCCCACAGACCTCCATGGGTAGGTTATTTGCCATAAAGAAATGAGGTGCGCCCCAGGTTCAAATGAAGGGCGACGTTCTCTTTGCTCTTGGGGGAGTGGCAATTCGGCTTTTGTGGTATTGGTCCAATTGAAGGTTTGAAAACCCAACGGACCCCTTGGGTCCAGGACCGCTGGGCCCCGCACATTGCTTTTCGTAGAAGGACAATGAAGGATCACCTTGCTCTGGGCCTGTAACCTTTGACTTATAGCCTTTTGACAGTCTCCCCACCCACAACCCACCCACATGACAGGGTGCCCCTCCAGCAGGTGGGCCCGAAGCAGCATTCCTCAATGCCAAACTCACAGGGCAGAAGGAGCCCTGAAGGAGTGCTCCAAGTTTGGCCAGGGCCGGTGCAGTGCAGCGAGCGGAGCAGGCCGGAGCGATGGGACGGAAAAATCGAGCATCGGAAGCAATGACTCCTTGCAACATCGGGGCCCAAGCGTTAGTCGTAGGTCTTTAACATCAAGAAGGCAATCGCCAATCGCTCTTATCGTGCCCAGGATGGAGGCAAGTGACAAGATCACTGATCGTATTTTGTGAGTTTGGGAGGACATAGGGGCGAGAAGATCCTGGCTCGTGTGACCCTTTGGGGTAAGCAGGGCTTGCGCGCATGCGTACGCGCCGGTCAGGCCGAGCGCCGTGTTGCCAGCTTGGCCAATGAGGCCGGCCACAAGATCGTTGAATAGCGAGTGCATCTTCTCTGTAAGTTTGATGCTTCAGGACGACCAGGTGGCCCAATTTACTAAAATGCGTGGTCCAAGGTCAAGGTGCTTTCTTTGGAGTCAGAAATTGAGATTTCGAGGAGATGGGTATTTAGAGTAAACCAGGAGACTGTTCCACGAAGCGGTTCTGAATTTTGTTTGCGAGCCCTCCTTACTTATTTTCCAGTTGTGCTTTGGGTTATATGACCTACCAGACGGGCCTGCAGAGCGACGGTCCATTCATCAACAATTGTCAACAACTGTAGTAAAGGGAGTGACGTTGGGCAAAAGGAATCAAAGCTTGCTCACTACAGCTGGGGACACATGAGCAACACACCTTACCCCGGTTTCCTTCCGCAGTGTGGGCTACACGTCACTGAAGGGTTTCCAAGAATGGAGACCCTTTGTGGGTCCAGACCCTCGCAAATGGCACCAGGATAAGTTGGGTCCAAACGCTGCCACCCGACCGAGTGACTGTTCCGTTTCGTTTGGGGATCCATGAGGTCGCCCGGCTGGCGCAAGACTTGGCCAAGGTCGGGCTGACGGATCCAAAGATTGCGGGATATTTGAGTCCGATGTTCGCGAGGCCACACGGAGCTAGGATTCTTCGCTGGCATGTGTTGCACCATCCAAGGGTCGGGACCATAGTGTCCAGAATTGCCCCAAGGAGCCAGAGCCTACATTCTCGAGTGCTGGTATGAAAGTGACAGACATATGTGGTTTTTTTCTCCCCCTGCAAGCCGGCTGCGCCAACTCAAACATGCCACCCAGTAAAAGGAGTCACCTAACATCAACTAAAGCTTGAATCAACAGGATGGGAAATGGTCGCCACTTGAGCAAGTGTCGAGTCCAATAGGGGCAGCGTGCGGAAACAATCTAGATGCGTTGGATGATGTGGTATTCATATATAGTAATTCCCAATTCGCAGTTTGTATAGACGGTTGCGAATCTATAGTTCATAGACATATAGCTCGGACTAGATGTAGCCGTCTTCACCAGCGCACTCAGGTGAGTGGGGGCCAAACAAGGCTTGCGCTCCCTAGATCAAAGCAGGGAAGCTAACAGAAGAAGTTGACGGCTGCCGGGCAAGCCATGGTTTCCTCACGCCCCAGTTCCGACCAGCAGAGGTTGCGGGAGACCAGAACCCGCAGGCAGGGCATCGCAGAAGAATTGGCGGCTTTGGGCGAAGGGCGAGTTTACCATAGCTGCTTGTTTGAACGGGGAACCGCCAATACGGATTGTATCTCTTCGGTTGCCCCTTAGCAAACCTAAACGTGTACCCCACAAAAGAAAGCACATGTCGTAAGAACGCCTAGAAAGTGCTTTGAAAGGCCTCCCGGTTAGTTGCATTTGGACAACAATCCAAAGGGATAAGGGGCGCTTTAGTCCTCAGAGCAGTTTTGCACCCGTTGATGCTGCTGAAAGGAACTAGGTATTGCCAGAAAGGTGAAGAATGATGTGAAGGAAAGATGGTTACCAACAGTGTTATTGTGTTGGGAGTTCTAAAACATTGCCTGCAACTTGTCCGGTCGTGTCGCCGAGATTGTGTGCTGGTGGTGTCATGGTGGCATTCCAGTTTAGTGTCCTGGTGGTATTCTGGTTGTGTCGAGTGTCCTGGTGTTTTCCTTTGGGCTCTGCCGCCCGTCGTCACAAAGAGTTATGGGACTTTTGGGAATCGCAGCGGGGTTGTTACTGCCATTATGGAGTGTCGCTGCTAAGCCAGGTAGTCTTTTTGGAGCCTTAGACTCATGACGAGAGGTGACATTTTTGAGGGTTTCCTGTTTGGGGTGGAAGGTTCGCAAATAAAAGTACATTCTGTTCGACCTCAGATGCAGCGCATCACACAAAAGACCGTTTTGTGTCGACCTTGGTCTAGCTGGTGCAGTGCCCCTTCAGTTCGGTGCGCCTCCAAAGTTAAAGGGCCCGTTTGTTTTTGGAGCCATCCTGTTTATGTATCGGTCAAATACTCAAGTATATCTTTGTCCAGACGACTTTTCCCAGTTGACGCATTTGTTCCGATGTTTGCCTTTGGGTTAACGAGGTCCACACACTTGTTGCGAACAATGCAGGGTCGGCACATTCCTTCGCCCCAGGAGTTGGATAAGGAGACTCTGCAGGATGTGCGGAAGGACTTGCTGGTTCGCGACCCAAAGCTGCAGAGGTACTGCACACTGGCAAAGCATGTCCAACGAGTGACTTGCCACGCCGGGAACTCATGCAGTTGCTTTGTTTATATGAAGCAGAATCAATGAATCAACCACAAACTGCAAATCGCAGGGGTTTCAAGCAAAGCACCACAAACACCTGCTTGGGCTTGTCTCAAAATGGGGGAGGGGGGTGCCCACAAAATGGGCAATTGGTTTTCTAGACGCCCCCGAAAAAGGGTAGCCTCAAAGCACTCGCACGCCTTGCTCCGAGAGCCCTTTGGCGCATAACATTGCAGAGCGGGCACCAAGGACATGGGCAGCTTCCTGGAAGAGCCAGAGGTGGGGATGCGAAGAAAGGGTCATGTTATGTCATGTTCCCAGGTTCAAACCGTCACAGGATTGGGATCTGAAGTGCTCTTGTTTCCTTTTTCTCCGTTCTTTCGCCCAAGTTTCCCCACGGTCGGTGACATGGTCACGCATGTTTTTTGTGACCCTGCCCACTGGATTCATCTTGTCGAATAGAACCTGAGGTTGTACCCGTGGCTTCCAGCCCGTCAGGGCATGAGTGAAACGAATTGAGTCTTGCTTCGCAAGCAAGCAGAGTGGGTCGTATGGAGATCTCTGGTTTGCTTCTAGCTCGTCATGTTGGGCTTCCACGTCCAGCCACTCCACAGCGGTGCTGTGCATTTCTGCGTTCATTTGAAAGGCTGCAGGAGAAAAGGAAGCCGTTTTCAGATCTTGGACCTTTGGGCATGCAAGCGCATTCCTGTGTCGAGGCCAACTAGACCTAAGGTACCCATTCCGGCCAGTTGCTACCTTTTCAATGGTCTAAATCCCTACAAGGCCCCCAAAATCAAAACGCACCCCAAGCAATGATCATGTGATGCGAGAGCTTCCTTGTCACAGGTTCTCATTCGATCCCACCGGAGCTTTCTCCCGCACCAGGACTCAACTGCAGCGGCTGCAGATGCTGCGGCGCCTGCGGAGCCTGCGGCGCCGGCGCCAGCGCAGGTGACGTTGGGAGATTCGACGGACAGACAGCGCGCACTTCATCTACACATGTGCTTGAGCCCGGAGGATGTCCCAGACTTTGGGAACCAAAAAGAGGCCCTTGCCACTGTACGAGACCCGCGCAGCCCTTGCCTGGCAGGAAGATCCGCGCACTGATCCCGAGGGCGCGCTGCGCACGGCCGAAGTTCTCGGAGTTGTTTGTTGAGACGTGGGGACATTTGGAAGGTCTCAAAAGCCGCCCGCTCATGTTAAACACGTTTCGAATGCGGGACTTGTGACATTCACACAAGTTTGATCAGAATTCCCTTGAGCTCCATGTCACTCTGATCCTCCCTTTACTACTGGAAACTCTGTTAGCAGGGACTTGACGCGGCCACATTCAATGGATGTCTGACACCATTCATTCCTGCACAAATAGTGTTTTTGAGAAAGTGTCTCTCGCAGAAAAAAGAAACGTAACATTCGGTCCCCCAGCTATCAGCTCCTCTCGGCAACGACACAACAAGAGTCCTTCCAGCATGCATGAGAATTGCAAAGTTTCCAGCACCCATCGATTGCTTGCTCTATCATCTTCAACCCCTCGAGGGATGTCTTGTTGGACAGTATTTACTTGAGGTTTCGAAGACGGGAATACAACTGTTGGTTGGTGGTGTCACACTTCCCAAGCCAATCCGAATGGGTCGACCTTGGAAGACTGGGCGGAGACACAGTTTTTGGAAATATGACTTATCCTCCACTATCTAGCAAAACGTTAGCTACTTGTTTTAAGCAGCTAACATCCTTAAAAATCCAAAATGAAGAAAGAAGTGAAGGGAAAGGAAGGAATGACTCAGGATGGATGTGTGAGAGCCTCTCTCTTTGTCAGGCTTCTCACTCTCCATTTCCTATTTGCTGCGACCATCAGAATCTATTAGTTGGAGCAAAGGAGATTACATTAAGGAAAAGATAATGTGATAAGGTCCTTTCGGTAGCTATTAATGCCTGGTCTATCTTCATTCATATTATTTGTCTTTTATTTCCGTGCCTTTCGATCTCCCAAAATGGCTTAAGGAATAGGAAAAGAAGAGGCACGGGAGATGTTAGGAAGAGAAATGTCCTTCCATCGCTTACCATTGGTGGCCAACTCATGAATCTTCACCCATTTGCTGCATCAGGAATTACATGGAGAAGTGAATTCCAGTCCAACAATAAATATTAAATCCTGTAAAGATAAATAGAATTATAATATTTGCAAAGATTAATAAGATAGAAATATTAATAAGAAAACAACATGAATCTGATGTAACTTCTAAATGTAATGATTTCCAAAATAAAAGAATTCTAAAGAAGAAGTAAAGAAAAATAGAAAAGTGTCTTTATGGAAAGGCTGAGGGAAGGACGAGCCTTCATGTGACTTCTCTATCTACATCTTTTTCATTTTGCTTTTCTTGTTCTTTAGTTGTCGTTACAGCTTATTTATCTTTCTCTTTTTGTATCTCTTCTTTTCATTTGTATCTTCTTTTTATCTTTTTATTTGTCTTTGTTATCTTTTTTCTTTATTATTATTTTTCTTTTTCTTTTTTTTTAATCTTTTTAATTATTTGTAAGTCTTGTTTATAATGCTTTTATTATTTATTTCTTTTTCTTTCTTTTTTATTATTTTATTTTATTATTTTGTTTGGCATTAATGCCGTGGGAAGTTCAGGCCCATTTGCTCCAGTCGCTGGATTAGCAATAAACGATAGTAGACGACCAGGAGAAATGCTATTATATTACTATCTTATATTAATTTATATTTACTTTCTAATGCTTTTTGTCTTTTTAATTACATTTTGTTTATTTTATTTGCTTTCTTTTCTATTTCTTTATTTGGCATACTCAAATGCGATCAAATGCGCATTGGGGAGGCCAAACCCTCTTGCAGCAAAGCTCCAGGGTGGAGGGCAACAGACAAGCAAGCCTGAATCCCCAGAAGGATTCATCGGGGGGAGTGCTGTCCATGAAAAACTCCCCGACCTAGCAGGAATCCCCAAGCCATTTTTCTAAGAGCTGAAGTTTGGATCGCCCAGTTTAACGGGAGGGTCGGTCGGCCAGGCGTGCTGCAGCGGCTGGAGGCGCTCGAGGCGAAGGCATGCCGGATTCACCATTTCAGAGCCGTGGGTTGAATCACGTGTCCAGAACGCTCTCGATGAGCCAAAGAAAGCCACTGGAAAATGCAGGGGTCAACCTCGTCAACAGGTGAATTTATAAAGTGAAAGAGCCAGCATGAGCTTGAAACCAGTGGCCAATTTGCCCAATGCAGCCAAGCTTGAGCCGAGGGTTGGCGCCAACCTTTTTTCAATCACATGTTGACGACCACATCAGCTATGTTTCTACACTACAGACGGGGATCCTGCTCCCGCAAGGTGCATTTTGGAGGACACGCGTCTCTCCCAACAAAACTAGGGGCGACCCCCTTTTGGGGATATGATCGATTTCGGAGAACCTCGGTTCCCTGGACCAGCCCTGGCTTCGCGGAACTTCGCAGCAGTTTTCCCAGGAAAGTCTATTCTTCAAGCCCCGGGCACATCTTGCGGCGAGTGAGTTGGGCATTCGAGTCAGGATGAGGATGACTCCAGGATACTTTGAAGACACTGAGACTGATTGGGCTCCAACAAAAAGCAAATCTTGCCCTGTACATAGACTGCATACACGCACTCCAACCGAACATGCCAGTGTCATCAAAGGCAGGAGCCACAATCATCATAAATGAAAGAATGCTGGGAAGAATGACAGAACAAGGCTGATCCATCTGAGTCGAGGCATTTTGTTTGAAAAGTCGATGTCCTCCCCGGCACCTGGAACACAAAATACCTCATACGTCTTCCGGCCCTTGCCTTCTCAGGAGAGGCGCCTAAGACAAAAGGCCCTTTCGAGCGGGTCAGTGGCGAAAGCGGGCTGCGGATTCATCTCGCCCTTTCACTGCCAGACTTCCTGCGCGGCTGAGTCAAGTATCCAAGTAGCCGTTGAAATGCAAGCCACCAAGGTCCCCCCCTTGTCAGGGCTCTCGACAGGTCTTGTCGCGAACGACAAGGGTTGTCATAGACTTGAAACGTCCGAAACGCCCTGAAATGTAAGCCACTCAGGTACCCCCCCCTCAACAAACACCCTCAAATTATTCTCTTTCCCCTAGTAATGCACGCACCCTATTTATAAGCATTTTTCTTTCAGATCCCTAGGGCCCCCAAAGCGTTTGCTTGCAATGCTACTTAGATCAATCTCCTGACTGGACATGCTCTAGACGAGGCTGATGATCTTGACTCCTTCTTTTTGTAGAATGCCCACTTTGTTCTTCTGGCTAAAGAGGAAGTTGATCAAGTTACTTGTTGTGCCCAGCCCTTAGTGATACTGGATTTGTCGCTTGTTTAAAGGCAGGCTCTTTGTCCCATTTTCGAACTGGGATCAGCACCGGGGGATACACAGGTAGCAATGTGTCGGACAAACTGGGCTGATCAAGAAGAACATGATGCCCCCATTCAGCATGGGTCTCCAATTATCACGTACAGTCCGGCCATCCTTGATCCTGGAGTTGGAATGCTTGAGGCGGACGTGGAGCAGTTTCCAAGTTCAAGGCTGATTCCGTGTCTTCAAATCTGTTCTCCGCATCCCTTTCTCCCTTACTGCGTACAACGGGTGTGTGAGTGGGCGAAAAGCGATTATACATATATATATATAATCATACATACATAGTCCATATGTGCCAACCCCCCCCCCCCCGTCAGTTTCATAGCATATACTCCAGACCATTAGAATCCGTTTTGACTCAAGTCAGACAAGTATCATATTAAACTGCTCTTTTAGATTGAAATCAGATTCAGCTTTGAAGACAATTGATATTCGTGTAATTCCATGTAGATTTAATCAAGGTAAGTTGAAAGCAACTTTAGAACGGAGCTTCTAATTAAAGTTCTATTTGAAACTTAAATTAATATTAGATGGATTCCATGTCCTTGCAGAATTCCAGCAGAGTCTCTATTAGATTCAGTTCAAAAGCATGGTCAAAAATCTTGTTCAAGTTCAACATTGTTCCATTTTCTTAAATGATTCCAAGAAACATTTAATCAAATTATAAATTATGTTTGCAATCACATGTTGAAAGAACTTCATTCCTATTTAAATTGCTATTGCAAGCTGAAATCCAATCAAACTGAAATGATCATGTCTAAAAACATGTTTAATGTCGTTGTAATATATGTTCATTTACAGTTTAATCAAACTATGTGTGCATAGTTCCACTTACATTCCAAATAATTTCCATTTCAAATCAAGTTCGGAAAACTGTTATATATATATATATATGTATATATGGTCTTGCTTTTCTAATTTGATTCAATTTGTCATACAACCTCCATTGAACATCAAGTTTGGGAATACATTTCGATTTCAAATGCCGTTCCACATTCAAACTAATTGATTGCATGTCCTTATGTATTTTGAGTACACATGTAATCCGGAGCAAACTACTATTGACATTGATAGTTGAAGGTAGAAAGAATCAACCTCAATTTTAAAAGGGTCTATTTTCCTTGTCGAATTCCATGCGAGTTTCAATTAAGCACGAACTAATCCCCGCCAGTACTAGGAAAGTGCTTCAAACACCATGAGCTCCTTGGCAAACACAAAATGCAGTCGACTGCGGTACTTCTCAGCATCAGTCCGGTCACCCATGGGGGGAGGTACACCTTTATATATATATATATGTATATACATACATTACAAATGCACATATATTTACGTATACGCGTATACACGTACATATGTATAGATGTATACATGTATATATATGAACACATGCATACATGTATAAATGTACAGATGTATATGGCATATATGCATACTATGTATGTATGTAAATACATGTCTATGTGTACTTCTGTGTATGCATCTATGTATGTACACATATACATGTCTTGATGTTTGCAAGGGGATTTACTAAGCCCAGACGCCACGTCAGACTAAGCGTCGCTGCCAGGCGGCCGAGGCGCAGGCGGCTCAGGCAGCACAAGCGGCGCAGGCGGCCCCAGCCCAGGCGGGGTAAAGTCTTCTTGCTAAAAGGTCGCCAGCAGTTTCCTCATATATATACATATGTTCCAGGCCGTGGAACCCCCCCCCCCTGCTCCCCCCCCCCGCAACCCCCCCCTGCAACACCCCCGCAACCCCCCCCTGCAACACCCCCGCAACCCCCCCCCCCCCTGCAACACCCCCGCAACCCCCCCCGCAACTCCCCCCCCCCTGTGGGGGTGGGGTGGGGGTGGGGGGGGTGGTTGGGTGGTTGGGTGGGTGGTTTGGGTTGGTTTCGGGTTGGCTTGGGGTTGGTTCAGGGTTGGCTTGGGGTTGGTTTAGGGTTGTGGTTTAGGGTGGGTTTAGGTTTAGTTTAGGGCTGATTTAGGTTTGGTTTAGGGTTGGTTTAGGGTGGATATAGGTTTAGTTTAGGGTTAGTTAAGGGTTGGCTAAGGGTTGGTTAAGGGTTGGTTTACAGTGGGTTTAGGGTGGGTTTAGGGTTGGCTTACGTTTGGTTTAAGCTTGATTTAGGGTTGGTTTAGGGTTAGAGTTTAGTGTTAGGGGTGTAGGATTGGATTAGGGTTGGGGTTTGGGGTTGGTTGTGTGGTTGAGTTGTCATACGTGTCGGGATGCAAACGAGTTCATGGGCTCGAGGAAAGGGTCTGGGGACCGTAGCAGCGGGGTGTGGGCTCGGGGCTCGGGGGGGGTTGGTGGCCTGGGGGCTGGAACACATATATATATATATATGTATATATATATATATATATATGCACATGAGTGAAGGAACCTCACACAACATATATGTGCATCAATCACATGTTATATATATATATAGCGGCAGGGCAACGAGGTACATGAGAAAGGTTTGGGGAGGGTGCTCCTGCATCTTTTGGCAGGCAGAGGCCGCAACAGCTGGAGGTGGGTAGCTGAGACTGGTGTTTTGGTTTTCTGAGGGTACCCTTTTTCAGGTTGGTTTCACGGGAAGCCAAAAGGAGAGCCACGACAGGCGGGCCTTTTGACTCAGATGATTTGGGGTGGTAGACCTCTTTGCTACCAGGCTTTCTTTCATCTCGCTTTGCCAGGCTGCGCGGAGGCGCAAAAAGCCCTGGAGAGGTGTGAGGAGTTGGAGCGACAGGCCGCGCTTTTTCCTCGTTGCTCCTTTGCCAGTTTCCCCCTCTAGGCAGAGTGTTTTTTTGCTTGCAATGTGAGCAAAGGATTTCTTGCTTTTTGTAATGGATGGGGTGTTGTACGGTATTTTTCCTTCCAGCCAAAACTGCTTGGTTTCCCGGGTCCTTAGCAAGAGCAAGGAGTACCCCACTTTGGTGCCTCATAGGTCGTGTAGTGCTCCTTGGACGTGAGATGTTTGGGAGGGCCAAGCTGTCCCGTTTTTGAGCGAACCCTCCCCATCCTCCCCCACTTTCAGGGTCCCCCTTTAGAGACAAGCCCATCTACCCACAGGCAAAACAGCCGACACTTGAGGCCTTTCGTCACACACAAGTGTGACGACAGAAATGGTGAGACCTGAGATGAACCTCTGCACTTCGTCCATGCAAGAAACGCGTACACTCCTGTTTTGTTGCTCCAGTTCAATGCTGCCGTTTGATTCGCATTTGAGCAAGGGGACGAAAGCTGGTCACGGGAGATGGGCTTGCGGGCCTTCGCCAGGTCAAGAGCCTTGCAGGGGCCCCCAGGTTCACATCCCTGGGTATGGAAAGGCCAGTCATAGGGGTGGGGTGGGAACGCGAGAGGAGTGATGTGGGTCCATTGCCTAGGACAGGCTGTAGACAGTCAGTGTCAACGACACTTGCCATATTTGTCGTCCACCCGTAACCTGCAAAAAGTAATGTCGGCTTCATATGAATAAAGGGGTCCCCTCAACTGTGGTTTTTCGTTTTTCCGGGACAAAGCTCCAAAATACTATTTGCTTTGGGAGCTGGAGTCTTGCTTGTAGTACTTTTGTAGTACTGCCTTTCTTGGCGGGGGGGTACATTAATGTGGACTTGGTGTGGGGTATCTCATGTTGGACTGTTGGGGCATCACTCGTTGAACGGGGCCACAATGCAAAATCAACAGTTTCAACTATCCCATTTTTAGCAAGTCTAACTTTTGAAGGCCGCAGACTACTGCAGTGGCTGTAGAGTCCACGGCCACATTTCTGCAGACGGGTGTTTGAAGATTTGCTTCCTGAGCTTTGCTTCCAGAATTTTGCTTTCTGATTGTTTTCTGAGCTGTTTGAGGCCTTGGGGCAGTTGTCGTTTTTAGTGAGTTGTTTTGGGGTGTTTAAGCCTGGGATCCTTGTTTGGGGCAAATGGCGACCTCGCGAGGGTCCGCCTCCTCGTCCGACCTAGGAGAGGAGCCCTGAGGGCAAGGATGAGGCTCAGGACAGTGGCCCGGCTCCGGTTGGAGGCGGGGGAAGTACGAGAGGGTGATGAGAAACGCGGGCGTGAATTTGAATTCGGGGATCCTGGGGTGGATTTGCGGACATTTGGGGATTCATGTTCACCAATCACTTTGGAGGTTGTTCTGTGTTTTTTTTGTGGGCTCAGATTGCCGCTTTGACAAAGTGCACCCATGTGTAGAGGAATCCACCAAATCCGCAGCATCTTTATGTTTCCGGGGAGAATACCATCTGGAATCCATTTTTTTCAATATCGAGGCTCCCTTCTGGGGACATGCCCTGGTGTCATTGCACATCGAGTTAGATTCAAGAGGGCCGTTGTACCAGCCCCGCAGCTCTTTCCGAAGAAAGCGAAAGACCAGCAGGTTGCAGGGCTCCTACCTTTGTCATACGGGCTACACTTCCCTGGCTCAGTCCTGATTTTATGCCTTGCCGGTTGAATCACCTCAAAAAGAAAGACTCTGCTTTTACGTGGCGGATTTTAGTTGTTTGACTCAGACAGTACAGACTTGCAAGTTAGCAAGCGATGTGTAGAGCCTCAGCTTTTCTGCAGGACCCTTCATTCCGGAATGGCCAGGCCATGTGAGTCCGAACGGGGCTCAAAGGCCAATGGTGCCTAAGGCAACCCTCTGCAAATGGCCCGTTTGCCTTCAGGTATCTCTTCTGTAAATTCCATCGGGGTCCACTTGTCAGGTGAAGAGCTGGCGAAGCAGGCCGTGTTGCAGGGCAACGAGGTGGCTCGAGTGACAAGGGCTGGACATGGCGATACACAACACACACACACACACAGACACAAGAAGACAAACAAACTGACAGACAAAGCGACATACAGACATGCACACGAGCAAGCACGCAAACACACAAAAAAGAAGGACAAACAGGCAGACACACAACCCGGCAAACAGACACACAAACGACCAGACAAGCGGACTAAAGGACAGCCACGCAGCAAACAAACATAAACAAGCAAACAAGCAAGCAAGCAAGCAAGCAAGCAAACCAGCAAACAAGCACAGACAGGCAGATACACCAGACAGACAGAGACAGACAGACAGACCGACCGACCGACCGGACCGGACCGGACCGGACCGGACCGGACCGAACCGGACCGGACCGGACCGGACCAGACCAGACCAGACCAGACCCAGACAAGACAGAAGAGAAGAGAAGCAAGATAACAGAAGAGAGCAGAGGATAGCAGAGAACAGAGCAGAGCAGAGCAGACAAAGAACAGAACAGAACAGACCAGACGACGGACAGACAGAGGCAGACAGAGGCAGACAGAGACAGCAGAGACAGACAGAAACAGACAGGGCCAGACAGAGACAGACAGAGACAACAGAGACAGACACAGACAGACCAACAGACAGGCAGACGAACAAACAAACAACCAAGCAAGCAAACAATCAAACAGCCAAGCAAGCACACAAGCAACCAAGCAAGCGAGCGTGCGAACAAACAAACAAACAAACAAGCAAACAAACAAACAAACAAACATAAATTAAAAAGCATTCAAGCAGACGAGCAAACAGACCAAGCAAGCAAGCACGCACGCAGGAAAGCAAGCAAGCACGCACACGCAGGCAAGCAAGCAAGCAAGGAAGCAAAACAAGCAAGCACGCAAGCAAGCAAGCAAGCAGGCAAGCAGGCAGGCAAGCAAGCAAGCAAACTAACTAACTAAGCAAACAAGCACACTGGGTCAGACCTGATGAATTTGTCGACTTTGGCGATTGGAGGTGGCTGACTTGGTAGCATCGCTACAGCAGTGCGGCTCTGAGCACGAAGAGCTGCGGAGTGAGGCGCGCTTTTGCGAGGTGAATGACCAAAGAGATGACTAGCGCACATTTCAGCTCCCAATGCCTGAAAAGTGAAGAATCCTTTTTCCGGAACCTCAGGGCTTCTTGGGTGTCTCTTTTGGAAGGAAAAACACATTGCAGCTTCATAGGTTTTCTCAGTTTTGGAAAAAATGAGACCTGCGCTTGGGAGCTTCCTTGTTAGGCCAATTCTATGTAGGCTATGGTGGACTACTGCCTAGCTTGGGTTAAGGTCTTTTCGAACTAGTATTGGGTCAGGAGAGGCAACCTCGCGCAGCCGCGTACGATACTTTTATGTTTTGCATCCGCGTCGAATGCCAGGCCTTCGGCCTTAAGCTTATTCTGATTGGCATGCTTCTTGAAGCACATTTTGCTGGGCCTGAAGCACTTGTTGCTTGACTTTGTTTGACTTGCCCGCGCTTCCTGCAATGGTGCTCCGTGGTTTTTCCTGGCGCCTTTGGGGTCGATCAAGAGCTGGAACATGGGAGATTCCTTGCGCCCAAGTCTGGGGGCTGTTTGTGATTTGTTGCCCCAGACATCTGAAGGTTCGCCAGGAAAAGTCTGGGTGAACCGAAAATTGGAAGCTTAGGAGCAAGCAGCCGAGCACAAGTGTGAAGCGGGGTGTAAATGGTGTTCTGCCTCGTTTGTTTTTCCTCGGCTGATGGATGACAATTGTACTCCTCTCAGACCGCTGGGGCCATCTGCTCATTCTAATCACAGCTGCCCCCCCGTTCCCGTGGCCGGTGGTGTCCATGTCTCCGGCTTTGCGCGCCGGGCCGAGCTCCCGAAGTGGTCAACTGGGCAGGTGCAAAAGCTGAAGGAGATGTTCGCAAAGGTCTGGGAGCCTGTAAGTGAGGGGGTTGATCCAGGTGCACCTGGTTCCTCTTCTCCTTTTTGGAGGTGGGTTTCCATTTAAAGTCAGCCCGCAAGAACAGGGGCAAGTCCTTGTTTCCCATGGAAACCACTGTGGAAACAAGGGGATGACAGGAGGATGATCAAGATGATGTGGATCCAGATGACTGATGCACCATGGATCAGGATGTTTGGAAATTCAGACATGTCACATCGAGTTACCCTGCAACACCCACTGGGAGTCGTCAAACTACGGGTTTGTTCTGACACGCCGGTGTCATTGTGCTGGCTTGAAAAAGGGGTCCCAAATGGATTACCCACCAACTCAATTCCCCTAAAAAAAAAGGTGGGATTTGGATATTATGCCACGCTTGGATGGAACTCTGCCTCACGTGAGGCTGACTCTGGCTCAAAGCAGGAGGCTGCAGAGGCAGGCCGCAAGCCTGCGTGGGTTGTGCCACCTTTGGCTGTCATTCTGCCCGACCAGGCTGATGCTGCCACAAAGAAGCAGGCAGAAGTGCGTGGTCATGAGAGCGGGCTGGGTGCACCGGGTGCAATCAGAGTAGAGAGTGTGCAGCCAACCTTGGTCGCATCACGGAGCTCGAACATCCAGGCAGCGGTCCATGCTTGGCACATTTTGCCTGACACCAGGATGAAGCGGCCTCAAAGGAGCAGGCAGCAGAGGCGGGTTGCGGCTAGCACTAGCTGGGGCCGTTTATGAAGGGAGCGTGTAGCTTGCATTGTTTGGCATGACCATGCAGACAAAAACCATCGAACAATTCTACCATGTTTGGACGGTCTTTACGCGATAGTAGGCTGAAGATGCCGCAAAGGAGACGGCAGCAGAGGTGGGTTGCAGCTAACACGAGCTATGTGCCAATTGTGAAGGAATAATGTAGCTTGCATTGTTTGGTATCGCAGTTCAGACAAAAATGAATATGAATTTAGGCATTGTGCTATGGACGTCCTTCTGCCTGATGGTAGGCTGAAGCTGCCGCAAAGGAGACGAGTGCAAAGGCACGTCTAAGACGATCTGCATGCCGTTTGTGTAGGGAGCATGTGACAGTGAAGGTCGAGAATGTGTGGCTTTGTTGTTGCCCGGTGATAGGCTGAAGCTGCCTCAAAAGAGCTGGCAGCAGAGGCGGGTTAGTGTCAGTACTTTGATGCCATTCGCGCGCAATTTGCGCAGAGACCTTGTAGCCAACCTGATTCAGAACAAACACCAGGGAGGAGCACAGCCAAGACCATGCAATCAAGCAAGCACTGCTTCTATTTATGACTCGACATGTCCCATACTAACCTCCAATTGTCCAAGTTTGTTTCTGGTTCTTCTGCTTGTTGTCATGGCTTGAATGCCAAGGCGGAAGCAACACAGAAGGCAGCGGAGGCTTGTCGTAAGACAAACTGGGTCCTGCTTGTGTAGACAGCGCAGTACTTTCATTGTTTGGCATCACTACTCAGATCAAATGAATTTAAGGATTGTGCTATGGATATCCTTTCTGCCTGATAGTAGGCTGAAGCTGCCGCAAAGGAGACGGCTGCAGAGGCACGTCTAAGACGATCTGCATGCCGTTTGTGTAGGGAGCATGTGACAGTGAAGGTCGAGAAATGTGTGGCTTTGTTGTTGCCCGGTGATAGGCTGAAGCTGCCTCAAAGGAGCCGGCAGCAGAGGCGGGTTAGTGTCAGTACTTTGATGCCGTTCGCGCGCAATGTGCGCAGAGACCTTGTAGCCAACCAGAGTCAGAACAAACACCAGGGAGGAGCACAGCCAAGACCATGTAATCAAGCAAGCACTGCTTCTATTTATGACGGGACATGTCCCATACTAACCTCCAATTGTCCAGGTTTGTGTCTGGTTCTTCTTGCTTGGTGTCATGGCTTGAATGCCAAGGCGGAAGCAAAACAGAAGGCAGCGGAGGCTGGTCGTAAGACAAACTAGGCCCTGCTTGTGTAGACAGCGCAGTACTTTCATTGTTTGGCATCGCAGTTCAGACTAAGTGAATTTAGGCATTGTGCTATGGACGTCCTTCTGCCTGATGGTAGGCTGAAGCTGCCGCAAAGGAGACGGCTGCAGAGGCACGTCTAAGACGATCTGCATGCCGTTTGTGTAGGGAGCATGTGACAATGAAGGTCGAGAATGTGTGGCTTGTTGTTGCCCGGTGATAGGCTGAAGCTGCCTCAAAAGAGCTGGCAGCAGAGGCGGGTTTCTATGATGAAACTACGATGTCCTTGTGCAGAATCCTTGTAGCCAAGCTGAATGATGATAAGTTGCACCAGCTTGGACCTTAGAGCACAAGAGTTCTACTTTTTCCAATTGTGAATGCTCAACGATACAAGCACACCGCTCAGCCGCAACACTGCGCAGTACCATGCAAGATGCACTATGCAATACCCTGCGAGCAATTCTTAGTGATTCTCGGCAACGGCAGCCTGCGCAACTCCCTGCAACAGCACTACGCAACGGCACCCTCTATACCAGCCCGAGCCCAGCAAACACCTTGCAACAGCACCCTGAACCAATCCAGTAAAACACCGCGCCCGCATCACTTCCTTGCCCGAAGTAGCACCCAGCGCAAAAGCAGCTCCTGCTTCTCTTCCTGAACTTGGACTCCTGTAGATTTCAGCTATTTGGGGAAACCCTTTGTCAAAGAAACATATTCCAATCCAGGTAAGGAATCACAATGGCCAGCGTTTCTATTGACTACATACCTCAAATACAGGTTTGACTTTGGTCCCCCTTGTTTGGTGTCGCTTGGATGTCAAGGTGAAAGCATTGAAACAGAAGGCAGCAGAGGCCGGTCGCAAGACAAGCTGCGCCCCGTTTGTGCAGTGTGTAGCTTGCATTGTTTAGCTCGTGTGGATGTCCTTTTGCCTGCTAGGCTGAAGCTGCCGCAAAGGAGAAGGCTGCAGAGGCACGTCTAAGACGATCTGCATGCCGTTTGCGTAGGGAGCATGTCATTCTGCGGTTGCCTTTGATCTTGCACCCTGACAGGCTGCAGCTGCCGCAAAAGAGCTCGCAGCAGAGGCGGCTCGCACTGGTGTTTGACTCATGGTTGTTGTTCTTACCGATGTCAGTGTTTGCATGATTGGTGCTATTGAGTATATTAGTATACACATATGTATGTATTATGTGTATATATATATATACACATCTATACAAATCTATGTGTTGCCATTGCTTGCAAGCAGAACTCAAATGGCAAGACTCTCTCCCAGTTGAGCCTTGTATGCATTTGGCGATCCTCCCAGTTTTTTGTTGTTGTTTGTTTTTTGTGTCGCTGTTCTTATGCAGGTTTTTCAGTGATTCTAATCATTTTTTCTGGGATGGTCCTTCCTTTCGCGTCAGGAGCTGAAGGACTTGCGGCTCCAGGTGGAGACCCTGGCGGCGGAGGCTGACTCGATGGGGGAGAGAACCCAAACTGCGCACGCCCCAAAAGGGTACCCTACAAAAATACTAGCCAAGCAAGCAACATGGGCTGGGTTTCCTGTTGGCTTACTTTGAGCCGTAACAAAACGATGCGCAGGGATCGAACATGTGACTCGTGGCCACTGACTTGATTTTACAACTGAAGTGGTGCTGTATTTGGGGGCCTAAATCACTCAAATGGGGTTCTGGAGCACTTTATCACCACACTATGTCATGCGAGAAAACATATTAGTATTTGAACACAAGGGGCAGATTGGTTTGGAGCTGGCTTTGGTGTTTCTGTCTTTGTTGTTTTCGCTCACGGCATCATTAGAGATGTGAGCTTGCAGGCACCTGTTCGTCTTGGTTTGGCTAGGTGACGTTGGGGTGGGTGGCGGAAATGTTCACGGACTTGCTGACAGCGCACTAGCCATGCTTCAGAAAATTACACAAGGCATGTCACTTGTCTCACAAGCACAGACACATACCACACAAGGTTCTCACGCCGGCCATGCGCACGCCAGCCTCGCTTGTGCGCGCGCGCTGCGTGTGCACGACGCCGCGCTGGACTGCCTGATGACGCCAGGGGCGCACTAGCAAGCCGTTTTTTTCTTGAAGACGCGCATTCCATGCCGCATGCATTGGTACATTCAGTATGATTTTGCACCTGAAACCCGCGCCCGAGGCGTGCGAGAGAAGCGGGCAGCTTCAATCAAATTTGTACAGGGACATGAGGCACTCTGCAGCGATGCTGGCAGATCATAGGAAGATGGTTATGAAAGCCAGAGTGGAGACCCATTTTTCTTTGACACTAACTTGTTTCTAAATGGAGATCACAAAAACATGTTAGGTCTTTCCCTCCCTGTTCATGGCACGATGTTCCGTTGTTTCTGTTGCGCTTTCCGGTTGTGTAGAAGGTTGCAAAGAGCATCTAGTTTCCAAGATGATAGGGTTACACCTCGCAAGAAAGCTCATATGGTTTGTGTCCCCCAAATACGGGAATCCTAACTCGGCCGGTTTCCCTTTGGTTTCCCTTCCACAACCCCGGAAAGGGTACCCAAAAGAAGAGCTCCGAATAGCATCCCAAAGAAAACGACACACCCTCCCAGAAAGCCCCTCAAAAAATGAGAGAGCGTCACAAGGGTGTGTTTTTTGGAGAATCAACTTGTGCTCGGATTCTCATATGGGGGTTGATCAATATTCCCCTCAGCTTTCATTAGACCATGGTCTAATGTAGCCTTGCCCAGGTGGCAAAACCCACGATGTTTAACTCGTGTGGGAAACCCATGCACATCCTGTGGGACTTTTTGGCGGGTTCTCCCAGTCATCCAAGCATATCATGGTCATTTAGTGGGTATCCCAGTGGATATCATGATCGGCTCATATTTGTTGAGCGGGTTCTCCCAGTGCATCCCGTGTCCATTGGACCCGTGGATGTATCGACCCATGGTCGAACTCCCCAGGTCCAAAGCCACGCGCAGCTCCTGGAGGCCCTCAAGGTGGCCCGGCTCGGGATGTGGCGCTTTTCTGGGCGTGTTTCCCCCTGGTTTTCCGCGTGGTTTCCGTGAAAGACCACGAAACAAGGGGGGACACCGTCCACAAAAAGACATGCCCAAATGGGATTCTGGCGAAGACGACCAACTGATGGTTAGGCATCGAATGATTTTCCTTGTTGCGATCAAGCATTGCAGTGACTCATAGCCAAGTGCTCGATTTCCAGCTTTGGGTGGGACATATAAATAGTGGTGACCCTGTTTGAACAAGAAAGTGTGATGATCAGCCAAGAACTTGGCCCAAATACATGTCCAGAAAAGGCTGGACCTCAATCACAGTCAGAGAGTCAAAGTCGACCATTCCGCGACCTTTAGTTGCCATGGAAGTACGTGTTTGTTCTCATGGACGCTCCCTGAGCAGTTCTTTCGCATTTGGCATCTTTGCTTCTTGTTCCACGTCAAGCACAACTCCGTGCGTGTGCCTTGAAACCTCACCCAACTGGGGGTTCTTCCCGATTTCAGCCATCCCTTTCTTGCGCTTTGAGATGGCCAAGGGAAATTCAAGAAGATAAACCAGCAAACGAACCCCATTTTTGGAAACCCCATTTGGAGACGTCCGCAAGTTGATGCCCTCATTCCGACGCGTGCCGCTTGCGCCGCGAGCTCGCGTCAGGCGGAGCAGCCTGCAGAGGCGCTGCGGGAAGAGCTGCAGACGCTGCAGGGCCAGGCGGGATTTCCGTTCCCATCTCAAAGGGGTCATCCCAGTGGTTCTACACCTGGTTTCATTGGGTCACGGTAAAGCCGTAGAAGTACGCCATGTCTGAACCAAAAGCCAAGGGGTTTGGGGCGCTCACATGGTACAAGTTGACTCTTTTGCTCGAGGTGCAGGGTCTGCAGGAGAGCCGCGCACAGGCCGGGATGTCAAGGCTTCCTGTCGGTCTTGGGGCAAAACCGTTGGTTTCCTTTTGGTTTCCCTTTCAAACCCCATGGGCACTTTGAGCTCAAAAGATCTCCCAGCACCCGAAAGCACCTGCCAAGGGTATCCTTGAAAAGAGACCTTTTGAGGGTTCCTATGGGATTATTGTGATTCATATCGGCATTTGACCGTGGCACATGGACCCCAACATTGCGTTGAGGGCACAAGGCCGGTAAGTCCAACATGTGGAGGGTTCCCCCAGCAATGAATGTTGATTGGGGGCACCAACTCAAAAAATGTTGGGACACACACGTCCAAAATGATGTCCACCAAAGGGTCCCAATTGAAGTTCATACCTATGCGCTTGGCTTTTTGAGGGTTCCCTTTGCCCGGCTAGTTGAAAGAGAACCGAAATAAAATCACCAGGGTTGGGCGATTCAATCCCTTGCATTGTTGAAACAATCTCATTTCGGTTTCCCTTCAGGGGACAAGGGGATGATTGTTTAAACCGATTTGGCAAACAACCAATCAAACCCCGAAAAGAAAAAAGAAGCCGTTGCAACTATCCCCTTTGCAACCAACCCCCACGCAAGCCCAATGCAACCACCCCCTTAAACCGATGGTGGAATTCCATTGAAACACCAACAAATTGGAAAACACCCCAAGGCAACCCAACCCCCCCAAATGAAACCACCCTTTTCAGACAACTGGGCGGGTTTCCCGTTTTTGGATCCAACGTTAAAAGCCAGGCGCAGAGGCTGGAAGCGGAGCAGGCGAAGCTCACACAGCGCCTCCAGCAGCTCGCGCCGCAGGCGGTGAACGAAAGTTCTGCTCGGTCAAAGTTTTATTTAGAGGTCAAACGGTTTAGCTACTGATTTGTTGGTTTGCCTAGGGTAATTTAGTGGTGTATTTTGAGTTCACCAATGTTGGTTTATTTAGATATTTTGGTTGGTTTGCCAAGTTTGTTGGTTTACTAATGTGAATTTAGTTGGTAGCATTTGCTGTGAACCATGGAAAGCCACTAATAGTCGATTGGTGATAGGGGTGACATGTAATTGAAACCTCTCATTTTGCAGAAGCAAACTCACCTGTTTGGGTCATGTCTTGACACGCATATGTGTTTCCGAAGTGTGCAATAAGCACATGCAACACAAGTGGGGAGAATGACAATGCAGGCACCTGGTCAAAATAATTAAAGACGATGGTCCAAACACTCAGAAGCAAGTCTATCGGAAAACCGTAGACGCAGGATTGTTTGACTACCCCTTAGGTGACCTGGAAACAGTCAATAGCCAACGTTTTAGACGGCCAGGGCGTCCTATTCAGGAGACCATGACAATCGCTGGCATGGCGTTTTGGACCATGAGCCAAATCGACTGTTCAGATATGGTTAAACCACTGTTGCTGGAGTGGCTGTGTGAACCAATGCGGTCTCTGTTTGGACCAAACAGCTCGGCAGGTTGAGCGACTAGGCTCCGTGGATGACCTCAGGGAGCAGGCGTGCAGGGATATTTGCGGCAGTTGTTTAGTGGCGTGGGGTTTCCTAAAAATAAGTAGCAACAGAGGGCATTGCGAGGTGTTGCCAGACAGCTTTTCACGTAAATACAGCCGGTCCCGGATTCCTGGATGGTCGCCAAACCGTTGATACTTTGACAGCCACCTCAGACAGCACATCGCGTGTCATAAATGTTGCCAGGCCGCATAAAACGCCCATTGCACACACCCATCGGGAAGACTCTCATTGATCAGAGTAGTGCACTGTGTGTGTGGCGTTGGGAAGGGGGGGTAATGGTTAGGAGGTTCCAGGCTGAGAAAATTGGACAGTTGCACACCAGTGAAATCCTCAGCCGTCGCCCACGAGCAAGGCTTTCAGCTTGGACATCTTGGGTAGCGGGTATGTCACGGTACGTCTCGAAATCGGGCCCCAAAAACGACGGCGTTCCTTTTGGTTTTCCTTTGAACCAACCTGAAAGGGTAAACCGCATTTGAGCTTCAGCCAATGATGTTTTGTTTTTCGATGCAAGGCTAAGGCTGTTGGTCACCAACTATGTGCCGACGATTCTCCGCTGAGCTCCACGACACATTTTGACCAGGTTCCTTTCTGGGTCCCTCATTTTGGGCATGCGTCTTATTTTCTCGTGTCGCACTGGTTATGGATGCTACCTTTCATGGACCAAGGTTACAGTTAAGCTCCTCAGATCCTTGGCATTGTTTTGTTTAACATGTTGTAGTTTGTCATTCTCCATTTTTTCCGACGGTTGATTTCTATATTTTTTGAACGCACCAGATGATTCGCCCCACGCAGCACCGGAGGTGCGGCGACTGGAGGCGGACAAAGAGGGCCGCGAAGGCACAGCCGGGAGCCCCAACGGCAGCCAGAGGAGGCTGCTGACGATGAAGAAAATGCTGCTGCTGCTGCTGCTGCTGCTGCTGCTGCTGCTGCTGCTGCTGACGATTAAAAAGAATAAGGTGATGATGACAATGATAGCAAGGGGTGCTTTGGATACTTTGTGTTGATTAATACATTTTCTTGAGGATTCTGCGAGGATGGCATGACAGATAGCATTAGTTTGGTAGTGTCCTTTTCCTTTATCTCGTAAGCTTTGCGGGCATCATCCGCTCGATCAGCAGAGCTTGATCATCTAGCGAATCGCATCTCCTAACTTCGGAGCCTTTGCCTTGAGCCGGGTGGCACGCAATGGAGGGCAACAAAATGCAAATCATTGCGATCTATGGGACTCGCGCATTTTTTGGGCAAAGGGAGATCAGTGGGCCTGTATTCTTGTTTTTCTTGGGAAGGGTGTGGAGGTGCGAGCCTTGGAAAGCCCAAATGGGCCTGATGTTGAATTGAGAGGCCTGTCATCTACATGGAGGCGTATGTCCACCAACCATTTTTGAGGGGTCACCCATCGGCAAAACGTCTCAGGTGGCGCGGCTGCGTGACTCGGTGGAGGCTCTGAAACGGCGCCAGGAGGAGTCTCGCCTCGAGGTAGAGGCGATTGAATCGAGTCGAGGTCGCTTGGTTTCCAGCTTGCTACTTGGGATACAGGGGCCCGGTTTTTCCCTTTGGGCCCAACGAAAAGGGAAACAGGTTTGGGGCTTGGAAAACGGGTGTTTTCTTGGGGTAAGTGGCTGCAATAAGCAGGGGCTGCAGTTTGTGTATCAATCTTTCTGAAGGAGATCGTTGGAAAGAACAGGAGCTACAAGTACGCAAAACGAGGTGCTGTCCGTTTGCGAAGAACCTCGCGTGGGGCGTTGTCTTCCGTTTTTTCCGAAAGCATTGCGAAGGGTTCTTCCGTGCGGAGCTCTTGGTCAACTTGCTCAGAGTAGCTTGCACAGAGGAGATATCAGGAGCTCTAGGCCAACTTGCGCAGAGTAGCTTGCACAGAGTCACCAGCATGGAGATACCAGCATGGAGATACTCGCGCAGAGTTACTAGCACAGAGTAGCTTGCACAGAGTTACCAGCATGGAGATACTTGCACAGAGTCACCAGCATGGAGATGCCAGCATGGAGATACTTGCACAGAGTCACCAGCATGGAGATGCCAGCATGGAGATACTTGCACAGAGTCACCAGCATGGAGTCACCAGCATACAGTTACTTGCGCAGAGCCAAGTGCAAAGAGCCAAGCGCGTAGAGCCAAGTGCTCAGAGCGAAGTGCAAAGAGCGAGGTGCAAGGAGCCAAGTGCACAGAGCTAAGTGCACAGAGCCAAGTGCAAAGAGCGAAGTGCATCGAGCCAGGTGCATAGAGAAAAGTGCATAGAGCTAGGTGCATAGAGCTAAGCTAAGCTAGGTGAAGAGGCTCGGCGGTAGCAGCTGTGTAAGCTAGGTTAAGTAAGTTAGGTTAAGTGCTTAACGCGCGGGAAAGAAAGAGAAAGAGCTCGGTATTAAGAATCTCTTTTAAGGCGGGGGGTGGGGATGTTGCCGACGATCGGGAATGCGACCCTCCGCGGAGATCGGCGTGGTCGAGGTGCAAAAACTCGAGGTTTTTTTTGTGTTTTTGTGCGGTGCTTTCGATATGCCCGCGCGACCCTCTGCGGAGATCGGCGTGGTCGAGGTGCAAAAACTCGAGGATTTTTGCGTTTTTTGATTGGTCGAGGTGCAAAAACTCGAGGTTTTTTTGCGTTTTTTGCGGTGCCCGCGCCTCTGCGGAGATCGGCGTGGTCGAGGTGCAAAAACTCGAGGATTTTTGCGTTTTTTGATTGGTCGAGGTGCAAAAACTCAAGGTTTTTTGCGTTTTTTTTGCGGTGCCCGCGCCTCTGCGGAGATCGGCGTGGTCGAGGTGCAAAAACTCGAGGTTTTTTGCGTGTTTTGCGGTGCCCGCGCGACCCTCTGCGAAGATCGTGCGTGTCGAAGCGCTCTCGCTGTGGCGCCGTGCGAATTCTTCTTAGTCTCGGCGAACCCTCTGCGGAGATCGTGCGTGTCGAAGCGCTCTCGCTGTGGCGCGGTGCGATTTTGTTGCTCGCGAAATGGCCATTGGAAGTTGCCTCGTGGTTTGCGCGCCTGCTTTCGCAATCCCGCGGTCGCGGGTTCAGCTCCGGCTTGAAAATCGCAGCTTTTAAGCACAAACGTAGTACGCGGAGCGTGCTCCTGCAGCTCCGGCTGGAAAATCGCAACTTTTAAGTACAGACGTAGTACGCGGCCCGCAGCTCCGGCTGGAAAATCGCAACTTTTAAGTCCAAAAATAGTACGCGAAGTACATTCCCAGAGCTTCGGCAGCACTTGCGCAGAGCAGCTTGCGCAGAGTCACTTGCACAAAGCACTTGCGCAGAGCAACTTGCGCAGACCAACTTGCACAGAGCACATGCGCAAAGCGCTTGCGCGGAGCAACTGGCGCAGAGCACTTGCGCAGAGCACCTTGCTCAGAGCACTTGCGCAGAGCAACTTGCGCAGAGCACTTGCGTGCAGCAGCTTGCAGAGAGCAACTTGCGCGCAGCAGCCTGGAACAATGCAGCTTGCGCAGACCATTTTCGTGAGAAATCGTGCGGCGCAGTTCGTGCAAAGCGCATTGCGCCGAGCAGACTCGTGCAGAGCCAACTTGCACAGAGCCAGTTGCGCAGAGCCACTCGCGAAAAGTAGCTTGCGTAGAGCCAACTTTCACAGAGCCAAGCTGCGCAGAGCCATCTTGCACAGAGCTAAGCTGCGCGAGCGTGCTTTGCAGAAACTGTGGCCGTCGTGTAAGCTTTGCTATTGATTTCTTTTCCTTTTGCTTGTAATTCGTTTCGAGCTTTACGAGCTTTACTCTTCTTGTTTTAACGGATGTAAGTATGTGGGATCGAGCGCTGCCATGTTTCCTCTTGTAGGACGATGAGACGGAGCTCTCATGTGACCATACACATTGAGCATCGCCGCTTGCAGACACGCTCGCCGCAGCGATGTAAAAAGGTGTCTCCGCGGCTGGATGAGCACCTGGGGAAAAATGCTTTCGGGCCAATCGTCCTCTAGTTTTCTTTTTCGTTTCGTGAAGCTTGATTTCAACTCGCTTGTCTCAGGACACCCACACCTGCAAACCTCCAACCCTCAAACCCATTCCTCAAGTCTCCAAACATCCCACTCTGTATCAGAAGGCTATGCAGTATACCCCACCCACCAGGATTCCCCCAAGGCTTACTCTTGCGTACTCCCCCACCACTTTCACAAACGGGCAAGCTTCCAAGGAGCAGAAGGACGCTCATATGATGTGTTGGCAGACTTGCATTCCCCTCCTTTCACGTTTTATTCTCCTCTTTTTTCTGGTAGTGTTTGGCGGGATATTTTGACATCAAGTCCGTCCCGACAGCATTGGGAAGCCTGGCGGAAAAACGCGAGGGGGCGCAGCGGGCGCAGCTTGCATCCCTACGGGAGGAAGTGCGCGGGGGCCGCAAGTGTTGGCAGTCAAGTTTACATTCTAAATTGGCTTAAACCCAGAGATGCTTTACCCTTTGTAGAGGTACAATTGCAAGGCGACAGGCAAATGGGTGTGTCTTTGTGGGTACCTTGTTTTGTTGGGATCATGTTTTTAAGGTGAACCTCTACGGAAAGCTACCGTTTCGGGTTTCACCTATTTTAAGAGACCTATGGAGTTTGGGGTTTCAGGGGGCTTTGGCTTCCCAAGGGATCTCCTTCATGCTGGGTTTTGGTGTTGAGCGAATTGGGATCCTCATTTTCTACACAAGGGATAGGTTTGGCGGCCATTGTGCAGAGGATCAGTGTTGGGATACAAGATTCTGTTGAATGTAGATGAAGCTTTTCTCTCATGCAGAGATTCATGTTTTACCCAGGATAGACAGACATGGCATTGTGCCATCTATCAAGGTCTAATGCATGCACCCCTTCGGGCGCACCCTAGGATTGTACCCGGGATTGACGGGGTATGTAGCAGCCATTTAGGTGGGTTATGAAACTTCCTCTCAGGGGTAGAACCCGCCGCCTTTGCTTCCGCACAAATCCTGCAAAGAAGATGGGCGGAGATACCGTCCCTGCCCTCATATTTGTCTTTTTCTGCATTCTGCCTTTGTTCCTTTCCTGCAGGGTTGGCGCGCGACTATTGCCAGCTTGGGATTGGGGAGCACATTTCTCCCGCCAGGACACCTAAACATGAGCTCATGTTTCAAAACTAGGAATGTTTCCGAATGGCTGTCTTCATGTCGCAGGCCGTCACTGACGGCATGCCAACGTTTTTCACGTTCCATACAGGTCCTACTTCTTGGATAGACATACTCATGGAGTCAAGCCGTGGCATCAAGCAGGCCACCTGGTTTCTGGAGATTTGGTCTTCGCCCGGCATGGCTGTTCCACGAACTCAGACACCAGTCTGGACTTTTGGGCCCGACGAGCTAAAAGATTCATGACAGACACAGGGCCTGAATCGCCTTGCCTGCGGCACTTGGCTCTGATTTCATTCCCGACTTTGCATCTCATCTCTTCGGGCTTTCCCGCAACAGTTGTGGATCCCATGAGTTTGGGGAGGGTTCCGAGAGGGCCCGGCGGTTTTTCTCAGATCGATGCGTCTGAGGCACCTGCCAAGCGACCCAGGAGGCCTTGGCCAACCGCCAGGCGCAGGCAAAGGAGGCGGGGTGTGCCTCGGCCTCGTGCGGCGTATTCTTGGGTCTGAAAGGTCGAGCAGCTAGCTGGGTGATGTTGTCCTCTTCGCAAGGTGAGCAGACGCTTTTAGGATGATGTGCCATAAAGCCCGTGCAGGCGCTTGTTCGGTTCAGTCTGCGCAAATCCCAGGGGCGCTTAAACCCCAGCGGAATGAAGCCAAGGGAGCCTACCCGAGGGAGTAAGGAGCCTACCCAAGGGAGCAGCGCCAGCCGGGCTTTCGGTACAGGAAAGTCAGGAGGAGGGCGTGCAAAGTCCGATGCATCACAAGGGCAATCCAAAGCAACTAACGAAAACGAGCCATATGCATCAGAAAGGGGGCTCCTCTGCAAGGCCGGTTGTTTCTAGGAATGATTGGCTTGTGGCTGAAGATGATTTACTCTCGCAATTTTTCAGGGGCTCTTCTGCCTGGCCTCGAACGTTGTCAGCAACAGTCGCTCTTGGGTTGCTACGGGTTCAATTGCTTCAAGGGAACTCACGACGTGTCCCAGAGGATATGCCCACCCACATACCTCGAACGCAGGAATCACGTATTTCCCCTACATGGTTGTCATACTTTGCCACATGTCCAAATGCGGGTTTGCCACAGGCTGGGGAAGGGGACCACTTGTCTTCATTCGTGTCCAAGTGGGACATGGGAGCCTGGAACTGCATTGTCCAGGGCCACCAGTCCTTGGAGAAGGAGCAACTGCAGTTGGCCTCCAAGCTGCGCCAGCTGGAGACCATCAGGCGTGCTTTGGAGACAGATGCAAGGATGCAAGCTCCAGGCCCCAAAGCGTGGCAGACATTTCCGGGGTAGGAATAGTTCAGCTTTCTCAGGATTGCTGAGCGACAAAAGGAGCGGCTTGCCCTTGTTTTCCCGAGATCGATGATTGCCCCAGCGTCCTCCCACATGTTTTTCACGGATGGTTGGCCGATCCTAGTGATGTCAAAGCACCAGTTGACTTGCAGAGAAGAAGCGGCCGCCCGGTGCTAGGGGCTGTGTTCGGCCATGTTGCGTGACTTTCCAGCTTTCCTGTGTTGACACCATCCAGAAGGGCACACTCGAAACGGTTGAAGCATCAGCTTGAAGCTGGAATGGTTCCACTAAGAGGACAGGAGTCGTTGTAGTTTACCATTATGTCTGGTAGTATGGCAGGTTGCAAAAGTTGAAATATCTCTCGCGATGGGAATGGTGCCATGGCCGAATTTTTGGGAGCTCCACAAGCATCCGCATTCCAATGGAGGGCCCTTTCCAAGCATCTCCCATGATGTTTGCTCTGCAAAACAAACATGTCTACCACAATTCGCCACACAACTACACGGCCTTCTTGAAAACCGCGTAGAAAGTGAGAGAGACAGTTGCAGCCAACATAATTACAACTCGCTGGGCTGGATGACTGGTTTTGACTGCTTGGGCTGCCACTTGCTGCCCAGTCTTGGGAGGCTCTTGTTCGGTTGGTTAGCAGAGTTGCCAGCTCTCGGTGCAGGCTGAAGCAACTGGACCAAGACATGAAGGCAGGGGAAGTCTGTATGTGTGGTTTTTCAGGGCACTCCTTTGGGGGATGTCTTGGAATGGAAAACAAAGTTCCTCCTCCCCCCCACCGCGTTTTGTACGTTCCCCCATTTGGAGCAACTTATGGTTTCTTGTATCATTCCTATGCCTAGACATTCTGTGTCCTGACCTTTGGCCATGAATTCAAGGCGCTTTTCAGCCGCCCTCGTACCCAGCTGGAAAGAGCCATATAGTTGGCTTGTAAGTGGGGCCGGGAGGGGGTACCTTGACCAATGTTGACCCTTGCTGAATACAAGTTGATCATGTCGCCGTTTTTTCAGACGTTTGAAGAGTGACTGGAGTGGGAGGCTGGGTTGACATTAAGAGCCACCCCTGCTTGGTTGGTTTGGAGCGTGTTAGCAGTGATAAGTGCAACATGCGGTGGACTCTCTAAGTATTGCAAGTAGGGAGCAAGGGAACTCCTGTAAGTTGCCTCAATCTGCCAGGGTTTCGCGATTGGATGTGGTTGCTTCACATGTGTTTGAGATCCACGCTTACAACCCAACAAGTTTGCCTTTTGCATAATCCACGTCTCGAACCCATTGCATCCCTCCACCAGGAGGGGCAAGTGCTGTTGGCGTCTGAACCACAATTCCACCCAATAGGATCCCTGTTGACTGCAGCTCCGGCGACTCAGAATACTTGTTTGACACATGGGTTGCACCCCAGCTCAGCCGATGCGTCGGTTGCTGGGCGAAATCCTGCATGATAGATGGTTCCCATTCATAGGGCTTCCATTCCAACTGGTGCGAAATGGTTTTGTCGCCCTGGTGCACCCCAAAAAAGATGGATCGAGGTGTGGACCACAGACCAATCCCGAGAGGGACCTGACTCCTGAGCCCGACTGAGCCCCGCAACACGTGTCTTCGCGAGGTGGTAAAGGAGACTGTCTTGCATGTGCAGCAAGAGCTCCAGAAGGAGGACCAGAAACTTCGGACTCGGACTCGGGTCTCGTTTGGCCAAGGACAGCGGCGATATGTTTGCATATACAAGTAGGGGGCATGCTGGACGCTCGTCCTTGATCTCTTTAAACACTTTTTTGTCGGACTTTTTCACCAAAGTCAGTCTCCAATAGGCTATAGAAGCAACGCCAACATCGGGCCCGGAGCCCTCAACCTTTAGATGTTGGGTGCTTTTTGCCCGTGAAAGCTCTCCTCCGACGTGAAGCTCGAGAGGCTTTGTCATACTCAGTGAAAAGAAACAGAAGAGACACCGTGGCCGTTTTCCAGAAGACCTCGGCGTCTTTGGTTTGGTCGAGCACCAAAGGATTTTGTTCGGGCCATCTTTCAAGATAAAGGGGGGCCCTGGACAATTTGCAACTTTCTGGGATGCCAAGGGCATCCATCCCCTGTAGGTGGTGATTCCAGAGCACATCCTGCGAGACCTGGATGCCAAGAACGAGAAGCGCCTGGTGCGCGGCCAAAGCGGTCGCCGGTTCGTGTAATGAGTTGGTACGAGTCAGGGCTTCGGTGCATCGGTACACGTGGATATAGCGTTTTTCTCTCAGGCTTCTTATTGTTGTCTGGGCTTTGCAGAATTTGCTTTTTCGTCACAGTTTCACACTTTTCGGGGTACCAACTCAAAAATACTGGCCTTTTGGGAAGTACACCCCACAACATGACACCCGCCGAAAGGTCCGTTCAAGAGATCCTGCAAGATGCAATTATTCCAGGTATGCGCTATTCTAGGAAGTGCACATTTACAGCACCTTTGGAATTTAGAGTGTGTTTGCTTTCGGTAACAGGGCGCATTCCTTTCAAAGCGATGGAACACTTGCAGTGGGTTGCCATCAGGCTTTATGTGAGCAACTCGACATGCATTTCAGCTAGATGCACATCCAGCCTGTTTGCATGATATCATGCTGATTCCATCTCAACTTGATGACTGTTGGTTTGGATTTCGAATGATATATTCCTCTGCCGGTTTCAAGCGCCAAGGATTCATGTTGTTAATTCTGCATCTAAACTTGCACTTGTAGCAGAACATCCAATGCTTCATGATTCAATTGTCTTATTGGCAGGATCTCGCTGAACTCAGCGCGGAAACCAATTCTCACTGAGCATTTCACCCATTCGTCCAGTGCCTTCTCTCTTTTGAACTGGTTTAGGTGGGCTCACCCGAAAAACGAACAAGACACTGGAATCCTTCTCCCCATAGCAGCCTCAACAGGGTGTTCTTTACTTGTGATAGAGGGACCCTGATCAGTGAAGGCAAGCCCTGGTTTCTCCGTTGGGGTGCGTGCTCGCCGGAAAATGCGAGGCGATGTCACTCTTCCAGCAACCACGGGTTGAAACTCTAAGATACTCTTCGGGGGTTAAACGTCACCCCACGGGAAAAACATGAGATGGGGTTTCCTTTGATTGGGTCAGGTTTAGAGCAAGCACACCCCAATCGGTTGGTCTCATGTCATCGAATGGTGCGATTTTACGTGGGTTCCCAACATGCTTTCCCCCAGGGTTTCTGTTTGGAAACCAGTCAGGTCCTTGAACCTGGCCAGAGCCCGTTTTAGACAAGCTTCTTGAAAAATGGATAGTGGTCTAAACGTGGTTGATTCCTTTTGGTGTGGTAACCCTGTCATCGAAACTGGCTGCAGCAAAAGTGCCTTATAGCAAGATATGTATATATATAATGCATATGTATATATTCATATATATATACACATACACATACAGCTATACATACCAGTAGAGCCAACGAAGCCGGTGGGCAGAAGTTGCCTTATTTCCTTTTATTCTTCGTGCTTCGTTTCGTTCTTTCTTTCTTTCTTTCTTTCTTTCTTTCTTTCTTTCTTTATGTCTTTCTTTCCTTTCTTCTTTCCTTCTTCCCTCTTATCCGCTGAATAGAATTGTCTATATTTATATCTAGCTATCTATCGATCCACTATCTATCTATCTATCTATCTATCTGCCTACCTTCCTGTCTATTAGGATATTCATCTCCATCTATCTAGCTATCTAGCTACCTAGCTATCCACCTATCTACCCATCTATCCATCTACCTATCTACCACGCACTTTATTTATTCATTTGTCTATTTATTCATTATTATTTTGTATGCACTCCTCCTTTCTGCCTGTCTATCCAACTATCTTTCTAGCTTATTTCTCTCTTCGAGCCATCCATCCATCCATCCATCCATCCATCCAGCCAGCCAGCCAGCCAGCCATGCATGCATGCATGCATGCAGCCAGCCAGCCAGCCAGCCAGCCATCCAGCCAGCCAGCCAGCCAGCCAGCCATCCATCCATCCATCCATCCATCCATCCATCCATCCATCCATCCATCCATCCATCCATCCATCCATCCATCCATCCATCCATCCATCCATCCCCATCTACCCTAATTATCTTATCTTATTCTTTTCTTGTTATCTGGCTCAGAGAGCTAGCTTTCAGTTAGTTGCAGCAACACGGAAGTTCCTTTTAAGCTTCCTTTGATAACTACGTATATACACATGTTGTATGTGGCCATTTGCAGCAGTACACATTTGTCGGGGCAAACCACCCTTGTCGGGGCAAACCACCCTTGCTTTGGGTTAGTAGGGACCTTAAAAGGGATTTTGGACCGCTGCAAAAGTTCCATTCAGAGAGAATGAATCCTTTTCGTTGGTCAGTCATATGCTGCAGGAGTCCGTGTGGGCTGAGCTCCGGACCCATGCAGAGGCGAGGCAGCTCTTTTGGGGGCATTAGAGTTGTCAAACATATACCACCTCGGACTCTGGTGCCGCCCGAATTGCCCGCAAAACCGGCCCCATTTCATGGACCTTTCCAAACCTAGGATTTGGGCTTTGTTTTAAACATCCAAAACCGACTCCGGATCATTTTGGGTGAATGGTCCTGCAACAATTCTTCAGAGCTAGGGGCACCCATGGGAAAACCGTGGTTGGTCTCTGGAGATGCATTTTTCTAGGAGTACTACCTGGGGTATGAAACGGTGATATGGGAACGAATGCCGGCTTTGGTTGGCACTGTTACTCGCTGAGGAACACCTTCAAGTAGGGCTCCATCATTGAGCATGGAAACGATTTGACAAAAGGCAAAAGATGTGGGACACCAGCATACTTTACGGGTTTCTTTACGGGTTTCCTCCAGGAGGGATTCTTACGGCATAGCTTGCCAGAATTTTTGATTGCTCGCAATATGTTCTGCGTGTGACAAAGCCATGGGTGTTTCCGAAAATAGGCATGGACACCAAAGGGAGGTTGGCCTCCTTTCCAATGCAGCTCCCCACAATTCAGGACCAGCCAGTCAACAGAGATTTGGCGAGGGGTGCCTGACCGCAACTGTAGAGCAACTTCCCATCGCGACAGGGAAAAACTGGGAATGCATTCGAGTACTTCGGAGACGTTTTGGAGGAATTTTCAGAGCAACTAGAAACCAGTCACTTGGAGGGGGGCGGAGGGCTCCAGATAGGATAAAAGCTTTTGGTTTGTTTGAGAACGCACCAGAAGACCAAGCCTCGGTGTCCTTTCTGGGTCAGTTTGGTTGAACATGGCAGCAAATCTATTTGTCCAAAAGGGCAGGGTCCCAGCCTTCCGCATCCTGAACCTCACGGCCAGGCAGCGGCGACGCGCGCAGACAAGCTGGAGCAGAACATCACCCTTCGTATCGTGAATCTGGCTGGGGCGCCTCAGGGAAAACAGGCGAAGGACTGGGCCACTGGGCCCAAAGTAAGCATGGGAGGTTCTCAAAGACACTTTCAGAGGTTTCTGCCTTTGAAAGCACCTTAAGCCCTCCCAGCGACGGCCCCGGACTGCTGAAACTTGTTGCGGTCTCAATTCGTAAGCCTGGACTCTGGGAAGACTTGGTCAACACGCCTCTTGGTTTTTGGTTTGGAGTCGACCTGAGTGCAATAAAGCTCGAGACACGGCAGCTTGAAGGCGTTTGTTCCTTGGAACGTACTTCTTACCTGGCATGGCTGCCGTTGGAAGAGATATACGATGATGCAGGCAAATGGGTGGGTCCAGCATCTTCTTTCAATGGAATTCTTGGGGTCAGTCACTTGTTTTCTGCAGAAAGTGCAGACGCTTGTGCATGCATGGCCAAGCATTGGCTTGATAGTCTATGTGCCTGTGATGCATTTGTTGCATTTTCAACTCTGGAAACGAGCACTTGCGGCTTATTGCCGGAGAGAGCAGAACATGGCCAGCTGCGAAGCTATGCACAAATAGAACTGTTAAGCCGCAACGCTTGCTTTTCCATGTTAGCCCCACCAAAACCACAGCTGTGTGTTGTGTGTGGAATCCCAGGGCAAACGATTGGCATGTTGCATGCCATTTCATCAACATCCAGTGCTCATTTGAGTCTTCGCCAGGAATGTTTGACATGGGCTACATGTGCTTTGGCACGGCAAGCGTGACGTAGCATGTGCCTACCGCATTAGCCAACTGGGAGGGTCTTGCTTTCTTGATGGGATTGAAGGAAAACCACAAGGGAATCGACGGCCTGGAGGCGTCCCACTTTTGAGCAAGACTCAACTGATTTGGGTTGTCGTGTCCAAGCATCATGAAGCCTCTTGGGATGCCTGGTGCATAGAGGGACATCATGTTAGACATTGCTGGCCGATATCAGATCCGCCATGGCAAAGCCAAGGACTCAAGAGACAATCCCTGTATCTAAGAACACATTCCCGTCCTGCCACCGCATTCGATTGCGCTATGAGCCACTGTTCATGGCTTCCGGAAATCTTGCGGTCCATGCGCCCCCCACCCCCAGCCTTCCCCATGTCAGCTCCCTTCCCAGCTTTCCGGGCTGTACCAAGCCACGGTCTTGGGCGACCCAGGAACGGTCGACCACCACACTGGCGAAGTCGGCGGACGGGGCTGCGGAAATGGGGTGGCCGGGGATGCGGGCGGATGGATTTGGCTCCTGACCGAGTTCTTTGACAAGGCCATTCGGTTTAGACCAGCCCTGATGGCTTTCTAAAAAGGAAGGAAACAGGCGGCAAGTGCAATTGCCAAGATGAGAAAGGGACCTATCATATTCCCAAGCTTGCTTTGCTGCCTTCGCAACCCCATGCAATTGACAAATATCAGGCCACTTCGACCAACACTTTGGTTCAAACCTTGCCTGCCCCCTCCAGGAGCACATGGGGAATCTAGAGCAGGAGATGGCGAAGCAGTCAGAGTGGTTCGCATGGCGGCGGGGATGCCTAGTGAGAGCTGTGGGAGGCTTGGGAAGTTTGCACGGCATGCTGCCCTCCGTGGTTTGGCTGCTGTTGTCCTTCTGATCATGTTGGAATGTGCATCATGTGTCACTGAGTGTGTAGGAACTGACAAAGAGGTCAGAAAGGTGGTGCTTCATGGATGTTGCAAATGGCCGCCGTATGGACCAGCAAAATACTTCCAACCCCTAACCTCGCCTTCAACTCACTCGCGTTCACAGGCTGTGCAGGATCCTTTCAGTTGGAAACTAGCATGTTCAGGGTTGTGGGATCAAGGGGTTTATCCCCACTTCTGTGATACGGGGGGTTCCCGCTCTATAATGTTGGACCTTGTTTACTGTGGCCCCCCCCCTCAAACAGTCAAAACAGTGCTCGAGGATCCTGAATAAGTATCTGGCAGGGAGCTTGGGTGACTTAAGTATTGCTCTAGTATTGCCACTACTTAGTTTAGTATTGCCAGCACTTCCTTTTGGGTTGCCACGACTTGATTTAGTATTGCTAGCACTTCCTTTTGGATTGCCACTACTTGGTTTAGTATTGCCAGCACTTCCTTTTGAGTTGCCACTACTTGGTTTAGCATTGCCACTTAATTTAGTATTGCCAGCACTTCCTTTTGGGTTGCCCCGAAGACTTGATGGACATTGAACATGGTACCCAAACAGTGCCCTTTAAAGATGATCAGGGCCCCTTGTGGGCAACCCTCTTTGCAGGACTGTTTTGGGAGTGTTTTTTGATGGATTTAAGTGAAGGATTTTGATGGTTGGAGCTTAGGATCAAACCAGGAATTCTTAGGCTCAGATCTTGGCCTGGTCCGTTGCTAAGCTTTAGAGATCTTTGGGACCGGGATTTGTTTTGGGCCTGAACTTGACATAAATCATGGTACCGAAACAGTGCGGGGGTCGTGTTTAAGCCGGGAAACTTGACATAATTCAGACTACATATATTTTAAACCAGGTGCAACATTATGGGGGGTTAGTCTTTGAGAGGCCTTTGGGTTGTATCACAGAAGTGTTCATTTCCCACAGCCCTGAGCATGTCGGATTGCTAGGAGGAGCTCTTAGTTTAGCAAACCCCAAAGGCCTAGTGGACTCATTTTATCAAATATTGGGAGGCTATAACTGTAGACCAGATTTGAGCAAGTGTTAGCCGCCGTAAACGTACTGGTGCCTCGAACCCACGCCTCAAGTGAAAAACCGAGGAACAGTCCCGAGAATCCCCCTCACATACCCTCCCACCCAGTAGCATGCAACAAACCAGAAGGAGCACTTCCACAGGTGTCATGTTGTCCTTGTTTTTGGTCCACAAACTGGGCCGTAGCCGGCTTCAGCCTTCGCCTAACAGGTATCAAGCAGCCAAACAATAATTAAAACAACACAAAACGGCTGGTTTTTGTGCGACAGCCTTTCGAGGATCGCCTGGCTGGAGTGGGCCACCAGTGGAGAGAAGCGGAGCTTTGCCCGTCTGCCGGGGGCTCTGGGGGACGAGAGCCGCCCTAGCTTCACAATGGGCTTCAAAGGATGAAGCCCTCCCAACAAATGGATCTGGAATGGAGCTACTCAACGCATGTTGCATCCTACCGGATGATTCAAAGCGAAGCAACCAATAGTATGTACTTGTCACAGTTGGGCTTGACTCATTCGATGAAAGTCGGAATCTGGCGGAAGGTGTCTGGATGATTGCCAGTCGGAGACTCATCGAGCTGAGCTCTGGTGTAGGCGCCATGAAACCTAAGGCCCCCAGTTCAGTGACCCTTGGGGCGATTTGGAAGGAGACTGGCTGACTGGCAGTTGCCCATTCACAAAGGGGCTCCGCTTCTTTGAGAGGGGTGAAAGTAAGAACTTGCGCGCTTGGGGGAAACTGCGCTTAGGCCCGTTTTGCAGACAAGGAGAAAGGTTCCTTTTGGAACTCTGTTCGATGTCATTTGGGACCCGTACCGCCTTCAAGAGAATCCTTCTGGAATGGGTCTCTCTTTTGTCAACGCGTCAGCTTGCAGTTGGATGCACGGTTGCGCCTGTGGGCCAGTCCCAGGATTCCCCCGCCCGCGACTCCGGCGGCCACCTGCTTCAAGCAGCCCCTGACAGAGGACGGGGCGCGCCTAGGCCTAGGCGTCGTTTTTTGGGGCTGGTGTCAGGGTGGTTCAATACGGCATCATGGTGACCTAGGTCTTCCAGCTTTTGGCGGTTCTTTCGGTTGTCCTTGAAAACCACGAACAGATGGAATTCCCTGGGTTGAGTCGCAAGACATGTGCCCATGGATGGAGTTGGGGGTGCGAATTTGAATACTCATAGGGTCTCCTTTTTGTGGAACACCTAGTCGTTTGTTTGAGTATATACATTCTTTGGGTACACTCGGGTCCACGGTTCCCAAACAGGAAACATGAAACAGGAGTCTCATCAGATGTGCAAGCAATCTCTTGTTGAACATCTAGCCGCTGCATTTGGTGAGTGAGTGAGGGAGTGCGTGGGTGGGTGGGAGTGAGTGATCGAGGGAGGGAGGGAGGGAGGGAGGGAGGGAGGGAGGGAGAGAGAGAGAGAGAGAGAGAGAGAGCGAGAGAGAGAGAGATAGAGAGAGAGAGAGAGAGAGAGGGAGAGAGGGAGTGAGGGTGTATGAGTGCGTGCAATGCTGCCCCCAGCATGCTTGGAGCTGCCCATATATTGCAGCCAATGGCTGGACTCTTGGCACTGCAAGACGCTATCCAAAATTCGAGCAGATCGACACTAAGAACATGTGAAATCAAATTTCGGGATGTAGGGCGACAAAACAGCCCAGACCCATTGCGAAGAACCCCCCCAAAAAAGATGCCTCGCATTTGTTCCTTCGCCCTCCTTTTCATCAAGGCCAACTAGACTGGTGCCGTGCAAGCGGGAGGACTCTGAGCTATGGGCCCAAGAGAAGACCGGGAACCAGCGCAGCTTGGCAAGCGGATCTTAAGACATGGGACAATGCATGAGTTTCCCAAGTGGCAACGGCTTCCAGCGTTTCCATTTGGATGTATACCAAACTTGCCAACCAACGGCAAAAGGGCAAACGAGCCACCTTGTCAGCAAGAGCTGCACGTAGCTCGTGGGGCTGGGAGATTGGGCAAATGTCCGCCACCATGGAGTAGGGAAGGGTCAAATTTGGCTTCGCCCAGTGTGAAGTTATAGTCCTGCGGAGAAAAGGAGGTGTTTGTCAAAGAGGTCTACACGTCACCCAAAATTATCACAATAGCGTAGCCCTTTGCAGTGGCATGTAAAAACCAACAAAAGAGATTCCCACCTTTCGCCGACGATTTTGGCTCCGAGGCAGTTGAAGGGGGTTGAGAAAGCAAGTAGCGGCGCTGAAGATTTTGCAAGAGTTTTTGGACTCTGTCCTCGGTGGCAAACAACGATATTTTTCCATGCCTTGCGTCCCGCCTCTTGTTGGAAGCTGGGCATGAGAAAAATATGTTCGAAAAAGAACGCGTCATCAACTGTTGTGCTGGAGAATACCATTAGGCCATGTCTGCCTTGTTTGGAGGGGGGGAGCAATGTGAACATGGTGAAACATACATGTTAAGTTCAAACATTACAACTGGGCAGTTCCACAGCAATCTCCCCAGGCGGACATTGAGACATGGCATGCCTCATGTCTTTGGTGAACCTTGGCTGCGCACTTGAGTTCAGACTGTAGAAGATAGATAGAAACGACCCTACGATTTCCGGAGCATGTGGGTTGCTCGGCTGAGGATTGCGTCGGGCGCCGATCACCAATCTACCCAACGTCTCCGGAGCGAATTCAAGGCGCGACTAGTAGCCCTGGTGTCAAAATATCCAGCCTATGGGGGCCCACAGAATGTCCAACAAAATAGCCCTCGGTGTCCAACAAAGCCCACAACCATCATGTCTCCTTCGTTAACTACCCAGCGTTTTTTTTTGTTTTTGTTTTGTTTTTGAATTATTATCATTATAACAGCAATATTATTCATTATTATCTAAGGGGACAACGGGCCAGCTGACCCTTTTAATAGGTGGTTGTCTCATTTTGGCCAGGTCCGGCACAAATAGAGCGGTCGACCGAGAACACATGCGCCCCAAAGGACGTTGATATGATTTGTCGGGTGAACTGTTTCCTCCAAAAGACAACCCTGGCCAGGTCGGCCAAAGGAAGCGCTTCCGTCTGGCACCAAGTGTTTGTTGGCAGGGTCCAGCAAGGTCTGATTTAGGGCAAGAGAAGCAGTGACATAATCAATTCACAATGTGAACTGATATGAATGGAGCATTGGTTTTCAGTGATCCCCTATCGGATGCAAGGGTTTCGGCGGTATCGGTTTCTAATCTTCTTCTCTTGGTTTGCTTTGTGCTACTTTTGTTCGGCATTCGTATATGGCTTCTTGTTTTGAGGGTACCGTTTTGGGGTTATTGCCAAAGGGGAAACCAAAGGAAAATCACTCGTTTCGGGGTTTTCGCGGACAGTTGGTTTGTTTTCCTTTATGGATGGGAGCCATTATAAAACCGCACATTTGCAGATGAGTGTTGCCCAGCGAAGATTCGGCTCAAGTTTGGCTGATCTAATTAAGTGTTATGTGGTGTGAAGGGAATGGGTGTGGGCCTGGGGGTAACCCTGATACATACCCTGTTGTTAATTGCAGGCGTTGTTGTATGTTGGCCTACATATTTGTACATGTACATCAGGGAACCTACGCCGGGGCCCGGGGGCACCTGGTTGAGACCTCATAGCCATTTGTGGAACTAACGTGCTTTGAGGCCGGCCTCTCGGTGTCGTCCTCTGCGCCGGACCGTGGCTGGGGGGGGATTCCTGTAGTCCCCTTGGCTGTCAGTGACTTGCGTTGGGGCAATAGGGGACAATGGATTTTGCGACCAAGCTGCAAGCCCACCTTGCCTACCCAAGCACATAGCCGCTAGGCACACTCCTGCATCCTGGTTCTCATGCAATCCCTGGATTTTGAGAAGCGCGTTCAGATTTTTTTCAAAAGCCGGGGAACAGCAACGTCAGGCATTACCAGCACCAGCACTAGGGTTGGCAGTGCACGGCCAGCTTCATCAGTAGCACCCTGGCCTCTCCTTGCCCACTGGAAACTGCAAATATGCTGATGTCACGGGCGCCTTTGGCTGTATTTCCGGCATTTGTTTGCTTTGTGAAAGGCGGCCAGTCGGATGTGGGCAGCCCGAGCACAAACGCTCTTCATAGGTACCCTTCTATGCAAGTTGCAGCCCCAGCTAGAGCTAGGGCGTAGCAGCTCTTGGGCTCGCCCAGGGCAGTTCCAGACCAATCCACTTTTTGCAATCCGCGATGTGAGTGAGCTAAATGCCGGAGAATTCAGCGGATTCCTTGGAGGGGGAGGTACCTTAGATGTATGAGATAATGAGACATATCCTTGTGCTTTTGAGGGCATTGTAGCAACCGTGCCATGACGATTCTTGTCTTGGGTTCCCAACCTTTTTTGGCTGGGAATGAGCGCCGCCACCAAAAACAAATCCGGCGTTGGCATGGTTTCCCAAAATCTTCAATGCTTGTGCGTCGTCAAAGGGGCCCCTTTGAACTGGTTCGCTTACGAAAAGGTAGAGGACCCCGGAGAACTTGATCCTATGCGGACATGGGCTGCCCAATCTGCAGGAACCTGTGAGCCATGTGTCCGGACAGTCCGAAGAACTCGAACACGCTCGGTGCCTGCAAGTGCACAGAAGTTGCGATGCTGCGCCCAAGGTCATGAACACTTGCAGTAAACGCTGCGCGCTATCATTCTGCAAAGAACCATAAGAGCAATGCTGGCTTGAGCAAACTTGATGCCGGCTGGCTGAGCGTGTTGCGCGCTTCGAGCTCATGTTTGTGCACGGACAGCATGCTTTTGCGTGCCGGCGGCCCTCTTGGCACGGTCACGTTCGTGGCCTCGCAAACGCCTGAGTGTGGGTGTGCTTGTGGACCGTGTCAAGACTTGCATCTTCACTGGTGGGTGGTTGGCTTATTGGAATGTGGCAAGGTCGGTCAAACATAGGGTCGGCGAAGCCCGGTGGTCGGAAGTTCTGAAACACGAAACGTTCTGTTCTTCTTTCTGTTTTCTTTGTTCTTTCTTCTTTCTTCTTCTTTCCATATTTCTTTCTTTCTTTCTTTCTTTCTTTCTTTCTTTCTTTTTTTCTTCCGTCCTTCCTTCCTTCCTTCCTTCCTTCCTTCCTTCCTTCCTTTCTTTCCTTCTTTCTTTATTTCCTTCTTTCTTTCTGTCTTTATTTCCTTCCTTCTTTCTTTCCTTCCTTCCTTCCTTCTTTCTTTCTGTCTTTATTTCCTTCCTTCTTTCTTTCCTTCCTTCCTTCCTTCTTTCTTTCGTTCTTTCTTTCTTTCCTTCCTTCCTTCCTTCTTTCTTTCGTTCTTTCTTTCTTTCCTTCCTTCCTTCCTTCCTTCGTTCTTTCTTTCTTTCTTTCTTTCTTTCTTTCTGTCTGTCTGTCTGTCTGTCTGTCTGTCTGTCTGTCTGTCTGTCTGTCTGTCTGTCTGTCTATCTGTCTTTTTCTTTCTTTGCCTTTCTTTGTTTCTATTACATATCGAGCTCT